AATTGGGGTTCTACTGTATGGCTGTGGGTTTACAAGGTTTACCCCATTCCAGTGACAGGATGCGGCTTCCGACTTGCGAAGGCCTGCGTGCAGCCCAGGAGCTCTTCATTCGCGTCTTCAGCTGCTACTTTGGCCAAAGGTCCCTTGGGGTCCTGAGGCAATGATGCTGTGCGTTAATTTTGGGTAATTCATGTAATTAATATCAATGCAAAGCTCAGCCAATCTTGATCAAGAAGTTCCCCCCATTTGCAGGGCAAAAATCAAAGGCTGTGCCAAGGTCTTATCCGTTCCAGATTCCTAGTACCGTTGTGGTACCAGTTGCCTAAAACAGGGAAGAGCCGGGAAACTATCAGCTTTGCAACCATGCTAGCATCTTCAAGGACAGGCAAATGGCTCGCTAGCCTGAGTGCGAGCCAACCAGCTTTTCATCTCAATCCCATGACTTGAGTTTCTATAAAACTCGTTGGCTGTTGCAAAAACATTGTCCACATTAATCCACATTAATCCACTCATCCAGTCTATCCAGTTGTCCCTTGTAGATTGCAATGGCGTGATAGCGTGATATGGCGTGATTCTCCTCTCTTCTCGTTTGTCCTTGTTAGACAATGCCAAGGAAAATCATCTTATCACTGGCTTCTGCTCAACAATGCTCCCCTCATTGCTATCTCAGCTGCTCAGCCAAGGCTTGCAAGGCTGCCTTTCAGTTGTGCCATATGCTGTCAGGTTTGCTGGACAAAACGTTTGGGGAACTTCGGCACTCTGCTTGTGGAAGAGACTTAATTATTTCATCTTGTTTCTTCTCCTTGCATGACGTGAACAAATGAAAAAGTGGGACTCCGAAGTTATCCCAACCTGTTTCTCATCCACTTTGCCGGCTTTCTTCACAAGCTCCGCCCAAGACTGCGATGAGCCGTGCTTCAATCAGGGGGTCAAGAGAAGTTGCAGCAAAGACCGACACTGGACAGCTGCAAACACTACACTATGCGTTGCAGCACAATGGGGTGAACATATGTGAACATCCACCTGGGAGTTGGGAATGAAATCCAAATGGAGCAACTGGTTCATTCGAATTTGCCATGTCACCATGTCGCTTGTTAACATTGCGAACCTTTGTCATTCTATGTTAAGTTGTCAGCCGCAAGACCTTTCGACGTGCCAAAGCAACTCCCGAATTCTGACGGGTAAGCCTCTGCCACTGCCAGCAATGCAGTGGATGAGGATGCTTTTGCTACATCTTTTACCAGGCTGCGGCCCAGCAATCGCCGGTCCTGTACCAAGCTGAAGCTGAGTCTGACATCTGATTTCTACAGTCATCCTTTTGCCACCAATATTGAATACCCCATTAGTAATCCTAGTGTAGTATTGGAATATTTGGAATGGGCCATCCAGGGGGACCCCGGGAAAAAAGAGGTGTCCTTGTCTTTCAGCTTCTCTGGTGCTGTCTCAAGAAGTTCCTTTGCATGAGCTGACAGGTCCAGGTGAACACTTCCAACCTGGCACGGATCGATTGGGGAGATGGGGGGAGAATTCTGAGCCAGTATATGCAGCTTATAGGCAACAATTTTCAACTACCTGTATGTATATATATAATATATATATATTATCTAAAATTCAAGAACAATGCTCTATTAGGCGCCCAAATTTGATGGCAACAAAGATGGCAACTTTGAGGGCAAAAGCAATGGCAATGGCAATGGCGGTGGCAATCTGCAGGGCAACATGGATGGAAAAAACCGACGGGGGCAAATGTAATGGCAACATCGGTGGCAAAAAACACTGGCAAATACTTGGCGGGGGCAAAAGCACAGGCGGCAAATTGAATGGCAAAATTTTGGCTGCGAGCAAAAGCCCTTGGCAACACACGTGGCAACGAAAGGGCAAACTTGCATTGCGGGCAAAAGCAATAGCAACACAGGTAGCAAAGCTCTGGCAAAAAATGTGGCAAGGGCTAAAGACGCGACGCGTAAGTGGAAAAAGCAGATGGCACATTGCATGGCCAAAGGATATTGTATGCAGCCGTTGGCTTGCACAAGCGGCTTCTGGAATTGTGTCATATGCAAAGCAAGTGAACATTTTCAATCAGATTGTTGTGGTGTCGAATGATCAAACTTAGTGCTCAGAAATTGTTGTGTTTACAGCTCACTTGGTCAGCAATTGCCTTTCGGTTGTGTTTTGGTCTAATGATTTTCTGTGTCTAAGCGATGCTGGAACATTGCGGGGCACAGAGTTAAAGGGCCAGGTAACCCCACATGGCAAAGTCTTCCAATAATGAGCACCAAATGTTGTAGCGGGGACGGGGAAGAAAGGACAGACAAAGGAGGTGGTGGAGGACCGAGAAGTAAAACAAAGTTGTGTGTGTGTGTGACAAAGTTGTGTGTGAAAGATGGTGTGTGTGTGTGTGACAAAGTTGTGTGAAAGAGAGCGTGTGACAAAGTTGTGTGTGAAAGATGGTGTGCGACAAAGTGGTGTGTGAAAGATGCTGTGGTGAAAGATGATGTGTGACAAAGTTGTGTGTGTGAAAGGTGGTGTGGTGAAAGATGGTGTGTGTGTGTGTGTGACAAAGTGGTGTGTGAAGGATGGTGTGGTGAAAGATGGTGTGAGACAAAGTGGTGTGCGAAAGATGGGTCTGTGACTGTGTGTGAAAGATGGTGTGAAAGATGTTGTGTCAAAGATGGTGTGTCAAAGCTGGTGTGTGAGAGGTGGTGTGTGAAGTATTGTGTGGTGAAAGATGGTGTGTGACAAAGTGGTGTGAAAGATGGTGTGTCAAAGGTGGTGGGTGACAAAGTGTTGTGTGAAAGGTGGTGTGTGAAAGATGGTGTGTGACAAAGATGGTGTGAAAGATAGTGTGTCAAAGATGGTGTGTGAAAGATGGTGTGTGACAAAGTGGTGTGTCAAAGATGGTGTGTGACAAAGTGGTGTGTGAAAGAGGGGGTGTCAAAGATGGTGGGTGACAAAGTGGTGTGTGAAAGATGGTTCGCGAAAGAAGGTGGATGTCACCAAGCGCCACACCTGCCACGCAAAACGAAGGTAGATGTCTCCAAGTGCGACGCCTGCCACGTGAAACGAAGGTGGATGTCACCAAGCGCCTTGCCTGGCACGCAAAGTGGAAGTCGATGTCACCAAGTGCCACGCCTGCCACGCAAAGTGGAGGTCCATGGTCGCCAAGTGCCACGCCTGCCACGCAAAGTGACGGTCCATGTCGCCAAGGGCCACGCCTACCACGCAAACAGCGGCGGCGTCTACGGCGTCAACTGGGAACCAAGGGCGCCACCAGAGCCAGCCCAGTGCCAAAAGTGCCACGCCTGCCACGCAAAGTGGAGGTCCATGGTCGCCAAGTGCCACGCCTGCGACGCAAAGTGACTGTCCATGTCGCCAAGTGCCACACCTGCCGCGCAAACAGCGGCGGCGTCCACGGCGTCAACTGGGAACCAAGCGCGCCACCAGAGCCAGCCCATGCAGTGCCATAATAAGTGCCACGCCTGCCACGCAAACAGCGGCGGCGTCCACGCCGTCAACTGGGAACCAAGCGCGCCACCAGAGCCAGCCCAGTGCCATAATAAGTGCCACGCCTGCCATGCAGAATGCACGTACATGTCTCCAAGCGCCTCATCTGCCACGCAGAAAAGAACGTCCATGTCTCCAAGTACCACCCCTGCCACGCAAACAGCGGCGGCGTCCACGCTGGGAACCAACCGCGCCACCAGAGCCAGCCCAGTGCCATAAGTGCCACGCCTGCCACGCAGAATGCACGTACATGTCGCCAAGTGCCGCACCTCCCACGCAGAATGCACGCACGTGTCGCCAAGTACCACGCCTGCCACGCAAACAGCGGCGGCGTCCACGGCGTCAACTGGGAACCAAGCGCGCCACCAGAGCCAGCCCAGTGCCATAAGTGCCACGCCTGCCTCGCAGAATTCACGTACAAGTTGTGTGAGGACAAGTTGTGTGTGAGCGACTTGTCCTCACAAAGTTGTGTGCGAGCAAGTTGTGTGATGACAAGTTGTGTGTGGACAAGTTGTGTGTGGACAAGTGGTGTGAGGACAAGTTTTGTGTGAGCGATTTGGTGAAGACATATTGTGTGGGAGCGATTTGGTGAGGACAAGTTGTGTGTGGACAAGTTGTGTGAGGACAAGTTTCGCGTGGACAAGTTGTGTGTGAGCGATTTGGTGAGGGCATGTTGTGTGTGAGCAAGTTGTGTGATGACAAGTTGTGTGTGGACAAGTTGTGTGTGGACAAGTTGTGTGAGGACAAGTTGTGTGATGACAAGTTGTGCGTGAGCGATTTGGTGAGGACAAGTTGTGTGTGAGCAAGTTGTGTGATGACAAGTTGTGTGTGGACAAGTTGTGTGTGGACAAGTTGTGTGAGGACAAGTTGTGTGTGGACAAGTTGTGTGTGAGCGATTTGGTGAGGACAAGTTGTGTGTGAGCAAGTTGTGTGATGACAAGTTGTGTGAGGACAAGTTGTGTGTGGACAAGTTGTGTGTGAGCGATTTGGTGAGGACAAGTTGTGTGTGAGCAAGTTGTGTGATGACAAGTTGTGTGTGGACAAGTTGTGTGTGTGAGCGATTTGCTGAGGACAAGTTGTGTGTGAGCAAGTTGTGTGTGGACAAGTTGTGGGCGGGAGGGGCGGGAGGCAGAGGAGGAGGCGGCGGCGGGATACAGAACCAAAAACAAGAACCCCACACAAAGGTGTGGGGAAAAAATGTTGAGCCAAATTTTGCCCAGGCAGCTACCCACCTGCCCGTCAAGAAATAAGGTCGATTTTTGCCAAAATAAGCCTTATTTTGACAAAAATCGACCTTATTTTTTGACGGGCAACGATGGCAACCAAAAACGCGCACGCTTGTCCTTTCAAGACAAACCGCACTAGTTTTTGGTTGCCATCGTTGCCCGTCAAAAAATAAGGCCTATTTTTGTCAAAAATAAGGCTTATTTTGGCAAAAATCGACCTTATTTCTTGACGGGCAACGGTGGCAACCAAAAACGGCGGCGGCGGGATACAGAACCAAAAACAATAACCCCACACAAAGATGTGGGGAAAAAATGTTGAGCCAAATTTTGCCCAGGCAGCTGCCCACCTGCCCGTCAAGAAATAAGGTCGATTTTTGCCAAAATAAGCCCTATTTTTGACAAAATCGACCTTTCTTGACGGGCAACGATGGCAACCAAAAACGGCGGCGGCGGCGGGATACAGAACCAAAAACAAGAACCTGCACACAAAGATGTGGGGAAAAAATGTTGAGCCAAATTTTGCCCAGGCAGCTGCCCACCTGCCCGTCAAGAAATAAGGTCGATTTTTGCCAAAATAAGCCTTATTTTGACAAAAATCGACCTTATTTTTTGACGGGCAACGATGGCAACCAAAAACGCGCACGATTGTCCTTTCAAGACAAACCGCACTAGTTTTTGGTTGCCATCGTTGCCCGTCAAAAAATAAGGCCTATTTTTGTCAAAAATGAGGCTTATTTTGGCAAAAATCGACCTTATTTCTTGACGGGCAACGGTGGCAACCAAAAACGGCGGCGGCGGGATACAGAACCAAAAACAATAACCCCACACAAAGATGTGGGGAAAAAATGTTGAGCCAAATTTTGCCCAGGCAGCTGCCCACCTGCCCGTCAAGAAATAAGGTCGATTTTTGCCAAAATAAGCCTTATTTTTGACAAAAATCGACCTTATTTCTTGACGGGCAACGATGGCAACCAAAAACGGCGGCGGCGGCGGGATACAGAACCAAAAACAAGAACCCCACACAAAGATGTGGGGAAAAAATGTTGAGCCAAATTTTGCCCAGGCAGCTGCCCACCTGCCCGTCAAGGAATAAGGTCGATTTTTGCCAAAATAAGCCTTATTTTTGAGAAAAATAGGCCTTATTTTTCGACGGGCAACGATGGCAACCAAAAACTAGTGCGGTTTGTCTTGAAAGGACAAGCGTGCGAGTTTTTGGTTGCCATCGTTGCCCGTCAAAAAATAAGGTCGATTTTTGTCAAAATAAGGCTTATTTTGGCAAAAATCGACCTTATTTCTTGACGGGCAGGCGGGTAGCTGCCTGGGCAAAATTTGGCTCAACATTTTTTCCCCACATCTTTGTGTGGGGTTCTTGTTTTTGGTTCTGTATCCCGCCGCCGCCTCCTCCTCTGCCTCCCGCCCCTCCCGCCCACAACTTGTCCACACACAACTTGCCCACACACAACTTGCCCTCACAAATCGCTCCCACACAACTTGTCCACACACAACTTGTCATCACACAACTTGTCTCACACAACTTGTCCACACACAACTTGTCCACACACAACTTGTCATCACACAACTTGCTCACACATTTGTCCTCACCAAATCGCTCACACACAACTTGGCATCACACAACTTGCTCACACACACACACACCACTTGTCCTCACCAAATCGCTCGCACACAACTTGCCATCACACAACTTGCTCACACACAACTTGTCTTCACACAACTTGCTCACACACAACTTGTCTTCACCAAATCGCTCACACACAGCTTGTCCTCACACAACTTGTCCACACACAACTTGTCCACACACAACTTGTCATCACACAACTTGCTCACACGCAACATGTCCTCACCAAATCGCTCACACACACACAACTTGTCCTCCCACAACTTGTCCACACACAACTTCTACGTGCATTCTGGGTGGCAGGCGTGGCACTTATGGCACTGGGCTGGCTCTGGTGGCGCGCTTGGTTCCCAGTTGAGGGCGTGGACGCCGCCGCTGTTTGCGTGGCAGGGGTGGTACTTGGAGACATGTACGTGCATTCTGCGTGGCAGATGAGGCGCTTGGAGACATGTACGTGCATTCTGCATGGCAGGCGTGGCACTTATGGCACTGGGCTGGCTCTGGTGGCGCGCTTGGTTCCCAGTTGACGCCGTGGACGCCGCCGCTGTTTGCGTGGCAGGCGTGGTACTTGGCGACATGTGCGTGCATTCTGCGTGGCAGGTGCGGCACTTTGGTGACATGGACCTCCACTTTGCGTGGCAGGCGTGGTACTTATGGCACTGGGCTGGCTCTGGTGGCGCGCTTGGTTCCCAGTTGACGCCGTAGACGCCGCCGCTGTTTGCGTGGCAGGCGTGGCCCTTGGCGACATGGACCGTCACTTTGCGTGGCAGGCGTGGCACTTGGCGACCATGGACCTCCACTTTGCGTGGCAGGCGTGGCACTTGGAGACATCTACCTTCGTTTTGCGTGGCAGGTGTGGCGCTTGGTGACATCCACCTCCTTTCACGAACCGTCTTTCACACACCACTTTGTCACCCACCATCTTTGACAAACCATCTTTCACACACCACTTTGTCACCCACCATCTTTGACACATCACTTTGTCACACACCATCTTTCACACACCATCTTTGACACACTATCTTTCACACACCATCTTTGTCACACACCATCTTTCACACACCACCTTTCACATACCATCTTTCACGCCCACCTTTGTCACACACCATCTTTCACACACCACCTTTCACACAGCACTTTGTCACCCACCATCTTTGACACACCATCTTTCACACCATCTTTCACACCACTTTGTCACACACTTTCTTTCACCACACCATCCTTCACACGCCATCTCTCACACACCATCTTTGACACACCATCTTTCACACCACTTTGTCACACACTTTCTTTCACCACACCATCCTTCACCATCTTTGACACACCATCTTTCACCACACCATCCTTCACACACCACTTTGTCACACACCATCTTTCACCACACCACCTTTCACACAGCACTTTGTCACCAACCATCTTTCACCACACCATCTTTCACACACCACTTCACTTTGTCACCCACCATCTTTCGCCACAGCATCTTTCGCACACCACTTTGTCACACACCATCTTTCACACACAACTTTGTCACACGCGCTCTTTCACACAACTTTCACACACACCATCTTCCACACACAACTTTGTAGCACACACACACAACTTTGTTTTACTTCTCGGTCCTCCACCACCTCCTTTGTCTTTCCTTTCTTCCCCGTCCCCGCTACAACATTTGGTGCTCATTATTGGAAAAAGTTGCCATGTGGGTTTATCTGGTCCTTTAATTCATAGGGTCGGTGGGTGTCGCCTCCGCAGAAGGTGCAATAGGGCTGGCATGATTTTGGTCAACATCTTTCTCTGTAGTTGATGTAGCACCAAATTTTGCCAGCACTTTTGCCATCAACTTACCACCCCATTTGCCGCCAAAAAGTCTTTCACACCCTTTCTGTCAACATGTGCCATGTACACTCAACGCCTTTTTGTGACTGAAGGTGTTTGCAACCTTTTCTGCCCAAAAAGCTGCCATCAAATTTTGACACCTCTGCTGCAGGAAAAATGTTGTTGCTAAACTTCCGGCTCAATTTTTGCCATGCACAGTTGCCACCCCTTTTGCCACCAAAATACGGTTGCCACCATTTTTGCCATCACATTCTGCCATCAAACTTGCCGCCAACGCTTCATTGCCACTGAAACTGCCACCCACATTGCCATATCTAACTGCCACCGCCACCGAACTTGCCACCAAACTTGCCACCTTGAACTGCCACGAACCTCTGGCATAAGATAGAACCATATGAAAGCATACCTTTTAAATCTTAGATAATATATATATAAATATGATTAGTTGGGAAAAGGTTGGAAACATGGATTAAAATGGCTCGAGAGCCATTTGTGGTCAACATTGGGTCCATCACAAACCAAACAGCTCGATTCAGCCCACTGCACCATGGACGGAAAGGAGACGGCGCTCGCAGCAGGCTGACGCTTCCTGGGCTGTCATCAGCTGGTGCACAATGGCCACTCTCCTGTTACATCTGATTGGGAAGAAAAAACAGATTTTTCCACGAACCGTATTACGGGTGTGACAACCTTGGTGAATGTTGTCAGTCGCGTCAACTAGGGGACGATATGGGGACGATGGTGGCAGAAGTTCAGGCAGGTTGGGTGAGCTGTATATGCCCTCATTGGCAGTGCCAAGGGCCAAACGGTACAAAGCTGCAAACAAAAGGGATTGCTGTAATTGTCATTGTCATTATTCTTGCTATTGATATTATTGCTATTGTTGTCACTAGATGTTACTAGCATTTGTATGATTATTGTTTTGATGATTACTATTTTCACGAGTCTTATTTCATCATCATTCATGATACACGGCTCATATTTGGCGTATATTGTTCATACTATGTCAATAAGTATGATTCCCAACGATCCTGTCTTAGGTCTCAAAACCTGGGCCTCTGTCCAAGCATCGTCATCCGTAGGGCAGTGGGCAGCAGCTGCTGAGCGAACTCTTCCGCGCTGCTTTGGGCAGCCACAGGTGACCAGGCGCGAAGAGCAAAATCGCTGAGCACTTTCTTGGCTTCCAAGACCTGGGAATGAATTGGGATTTCACCAGAAAATGGGAATATGATGGTAATATAGTGGGGATAAGGGCAATGAGGTGACTTCAGCAGCAAAATGGTGACTTCACCAACAAACATGGGGATATCATCGGAACGTAATGGGAATCAACAACTGTCATTTGGAATACATATATTGATTGTTTTAATCATGGGGATTCAACAACCACTAAGAGGGCTTGAAAAACATCTAGTTTTTGTAGTAGGTAAGAAGGTAAGTTATAAAACCCGGATACAATTTATTGGGATTTAACCAAGTATTAAATGATGACTTAACTAACAAACATGGGGACATCATGGGAATATAATGGAATGTAATAAAATATGTACAGTAATAAATTTATATAACGGATTGGGAAACCATGCCTGTTCCCATCAAATAAAGGGGTGCTCTCGCTTCAACATGTTTAAGACAATCCTGGGAGAACTGCAGCACGGATCCACGATGACGAATCAAAACTCACCGACATCGAAGCCTCTTCAGAGCTGTAGAGAGAACTACATGTAGGGTGTGTTAGTATTTTTTTTCACCTGAAACTTTTTGTGCTCAGTTCTGTGGGTATTCCAGAGCCAGAAGTTCTCAAAAGTTGTGAAAAGAGGCTTCCTGTCCAAGAGGAGGGAACCATGTTTTGAATACGTGAGATATTATTGGATTTATTGGATCATATATCGGCTTGTTCAAGATGGTGTGCCTCCAAAATTTGATGGTAAACCTCATTCAAACATATTCCAAATATTTCCATATGGTCATTTTGGGAGGTATATCTAAGTGTCATGCACACCCAAACGTCATTACAGAAACATACCATTAATATATATAATTATATGTATATATACATATATATATAAATATACATATATATATAGATACGTATGTCTATATGCTTGCACACACACACACACTTACTATCTGTTACTATCCCATTGATATCCCATTCATATCCCGTTCTGGCTCGGATCACACAAGCCTTCCTCTGCCACCAGTGACATGCTTTGAGTAGAGCTCCAGCAGCGTTGCACGGTCGGCAGGCGTTCGACAAACTGCAGCGACCAACAGAGCAGGAGGCTCCTGGATTTTCGACCAGCAATCTTGGGGAAATCTATGGGTTTCTGTGAGAATGGAGGATTTACCTGATTTACCTCCAATTTAAGACTAGCGATTTAAACTCAGTTCAAAGGGGAGAAATGATGACAATCCATTGGTCATTTTCAGGCAAACCCCATAAGTCAGTACAACGTATAACTATTAACAGTGATCTTGGTGGATCCTGGAGCAAACAGTCACCGGGAACATGAGGGAACGTACCCAAGCAACATGCTGCAACCACCTGTAATCAAGGGACGCCAAGAAAATGAGATCAGTTTCTGGTTGAAACCTTGCCAGTCAATCCACGCCTGCCGAGCTCCTTTTTCTCTATACTCTGCGGGCAAGCCGATCCAAAAGGGCTGATTTTTTAGAAAAGATGCTGCTGCAAAAACAACCTTGAAAACAAGGAACAGCAGCACAGCTATGAAGCTCCAATCTATTGAAGAAACTGTACTGGAACCAACTGAGATATAAAGAATGAGCTAAAAAATGTACATCTGAGCCGAGTGATCATCTTTGATGATGCTTCATTGTGCTCGGTGCCCGCAAAAGCTAAAAGGTCTCCACGAAGACTTCCTCACGTGGGCTCGTGGGGCTCGTGGGGCTCGTGGGACTCGTGGGTGAAACTTCCTGCTCCGGCTGCTCCAATCGCTCCTGCTGCAGCGCTGCATGGGATGCCAATTTGCCAGCGGATTGGCAGCGAAATAAGCCAATTGTAAGCAGCACAGTGGCTGAGTAGGGCACGAGTGGCAACAGGCTCAATTCGTCTGTGGTAACCTCAGGATTTATGGCAGCTTGAGGTGGCAGGTTGATCCGTCCTTTCCGTTAAGATTTGACAAAAGCCGTGTGATTTCATTTGCAACGCATTGCAATGCTGCCTCCAAAGTGAACATTGCAACTCCGAACAAACAGGGTAGCTGCATGTAGCATAAGCTAGCAGCTGATACCAGCCTGTCTGTTATGATCACCTGGTTCCTGCCTTCTGATGCTAAAAATATCAGCACATTCTGGAACCATTTTCTCTTGCGTGGTGTCTTGAATTAGCACTTGCACTAGAGATACCTGGGTTTGTCTGGAAATAGAATTCTCCCAAATCCTACCATCAGTTTCCCGCACAAAAATTGCAATTTTAACGTGTGTTAAAGGATAAAGCCAACTATAGAGTAGGTGAATGCCTGAATGATACAAACTCACATTCTGCCTGAGGTCATGACATACCACCACCTGAAGGGAAGCCAAATGAGAATGGCGAAGCCAAGTAATGCAGCTACGTGTGCTACCATCAGAATACACCTGGGCACCCTGTCCAAGAAGGCCAAGGACAGCTTCCAAAGGATCCCGCACATGCACATCCATGCCAGCATCACAATTCCGTTGTAGCTCCAAAGCATGAAGCCGCGAAGAAACCAACGGAACCAAGAAAAACCTGAGATTTTGCGAAAAGGGGCCATAAAGATCCATAAAGAACAAAACACATTCTCAAGATTTCCCAAGAGATTCTCAATCTTCCACCAAGAAACCGGTCAAATCTGAGTCCGCCCACCATGGAATGAAGTCTGAAATCCAAGGAATTGTGACGCTCCACGCCACCTTGACTGCATCACTGAATCTCAAAGTTCCATCTGACAGCACGACAATCGACAGCTCTTCTCGGACCAGCTTATTGAATCTCTCCACATATGCGAAATCATCCTCATCTGAGGTCTTTCCAAACCATCGCGCCAGCATTCGATGCACCAGCACACGGTCACATGGAAGTGTCTCCCCAGTGTTGGGTTCACGGTGATGGTTCGTGCAGCAGAAACATTTCACATCTTGGACACGGAAGCTTTTGAGCTGAGCTGGTAGTTCGGCCAGCTCTCGGATGATCCCCTGGCCGATGTAGATGAAGGAAGGCAAGAACAGCGCCACGATGACCGCCAATATTCCAAAGGTGACCATATAGAATTGGAAAAGTAGCTGCCGAACGCCCGAGACGTACTGAGGGTTCAAAATGTCCAACATCACTGCGTGAGTGAATGACAGGGAAATCAAGCATAGGCTCTGCAATAGAAGGACGCTACCCATTTTCACAGGCACGAATTGAATGGGTTTTCCTTTCGAAAGCCGGTGCTTCTGGTGCTTCTGGTGTTTCTGTTGCTTCTGGTGCTTCTGGTGCTTGTGGTGCCAGGAGTCCCTGCTGAGAAAGGTGGCTAATTCGAAAACACACCACAGCCGGGAGCTCCATTCAGATGACCAAAGAATGGTAAGCCGTTGAGATCGATGAAGGAAACTCGGTAATCCCAAAATACCTGCCCAGCGGGCATGGGATATAGTCTTGGTACCTGAACCCCAAATATAATGTAATTTTTATGTAATTTTAATGGGGAAAATTATGATTAGCCAGTGGATTGCTCAGCGGACCAAAGATCCAAAATTGGGCGATTTAGGGCGATGTTGATCAACTACTGTCGCTTGTTCCAGACTCAAACACTGCAAGTGTGGGGTGCATCATATCGCATATCTTTTGCTGAAAGCTGAAGCACTGACAGCACCTTACACTCAAGACCGAACACTTACCCGAGAGCGTGCGAACCAGCAAACACATTTCTGAAGACACCTGTAGACTGTTAAGCAAAGAACCTAAAAGGACGTGTTAGCTTTGACAAACTAGGCCTTGTCAACACCCTAGCAGCTAGCGGAAAGATGCAGAAAGTAAGGAAACCGGATGCACGGGGACAACAAGTCTAAACAATTCTGGCTTCCGCAGAGGGTTGCAATGCTAAGTCCAAAGTTGACAGCTTCGAAGGTCGAAGAGGTATAACAAATGTGTAACAACGATTCTACATCTTGAATAACGCTAAAATCACGTAGGATCTGCAAACAATGCCGGAGAAGATGGATGCGACGACATTGCAAGGACTTTGACCCCAAAGAATATCAAAGCTGGCGGAATCGACCTTGTCGCTTCAAGGCTTCGTCCTCCTGAGAAATGCACAAGCGGTCTAGAAAGACCTGCCTACTTTTCCAGAAGCAGCTTCGTATCCTTTGCCAGAAGCAGAGGGTAAACCCATATGCGAGGTACCCAAAGCAAACCGGCCACCAATGATTGCCCAAATCTGAATTTGCATAAATTCGCAGCACCCCAGTCAAACAGCTCACAAGTGTACTTGAAACTAGTGCCGCCCAGCAGTTGAAAGTCCAGAGCATGGCCAAAACTTTGTCAAAGCGAGAAGTCTTCCAATCGTGGCTAAGAAAATCATCAATGTGATCAGTCACCTGACTCAATTCATATTCACCTCTGCCCTGTGCGACACCGGAAGTCCGAAAGTGCTTTCCCCAGCCAGCTAGGCAAATTTCAAGGGGCACCGATCGGATGAGCTCTGGATCAAGATTACTTGCTTCGCTTGGATCCAAACTCCAGTCACTCTCAGCTCTCTTCGAGAATTCCAAGGGCGATTGGGGCATGAAATGACATGAAAATAACCAGGGATCACTTGGACCCCCTGCGGCGCGATGTTATGCTACGTTTTTCGGTCGGATTCCCTTGGTGAAGGAGGGGCATACTTGTATCATCTTGTATCAACTAAACACCAAGCACCAGCATGCACCTGTATGCACCTGTATGTCTCATAAAGGGAGCTTGCTACTTCCTACCCATTAAATGGCCTACTGTTGGAAACTTGTTCGTGTTGACCCGAAAGGGGCGGCGCCAGCAGTCTGAGCCAAAATGATCAGTCGTGGAACTGCTGGCGGCTGATCATCTGTGCGGGAGCCAATCTTTTCAAGTTGCCAGAAGCCAGACCAAAGGATTGCCATGATGCTTTTTTTTGGCAACCCGGGTTGTCTGAAAATTTGGGGGAAAACTTGGGACCACCATATTTGATCGTGAAAAACTAAGAGTAGACAGTTTATCTCCCATATTTGTCCCTTTATTTTGGCCATAACCTGGTCAAATCCTCAAGGTTCTGTCCCAAAGCCATCCATGGAGTCCTCCGTCTTCTTTAGGAAGGCCAAGGCCCACGGAAGGGAAACCTCATTCGCACATCATCTTCACACACACACACACATTCACAGCCGCACCTTAGTGTTTTTTTTTTTAATGATTATATATATATATATATATGGCATCATGATAGCTATGATGAGTAGACATAAAAACTATACAGGTTTCAAAGAAACAATCTACAGTAATGTGCAACCCAATGCCATAAACCAACCATTTGAGGATAGTTGAAATTGCGCCCATAAAAAAATGCGATGACTTGGGGATGGCTTGTGACGTTGGGTTTACCACATTAATGTGGTTGAAGCAAAAGTAAACCATCCCCCAAATCATCATGTTTATGGGTACTATAAGCAGATGAGCCATCAACATATGGGTGGTTTATGACATTACTTTACTAACCTTAAGCTAAATTTCTATAGAAAATACACAGAAACTGCTGCCATGGCTCTTCCGGAATCGTGGCCAGGACCTTTTGCAGCGTTCGGGTGGCCTTGAGCTGCCATCTCGGAGGCCAGCGGATGCAGCGGGCCATTTCCGCACTCAAGGTCTCCAACAGGGAAACCACCACCTTGGTGCGAAATTCGGTGAACCCCGTGGGGGGATACCCTTTAAAAAAAGATCCATGGCTTGGCAATACGAAGATTTGGATTAAAAAATGGTCTATATACTGATGTCTACTGTAGGATGATTTATGATGATTTGGGGTAGCCCTATTGAAAAGGAAAACCACCATTATATAATCGAAGGTCGATCGAATGTCAACCTGCGCTAGACTGCTAGATATCTATGATTACCTGTGGATCTATGGCAACTAAGGCATGAACTTCTGCCTTAAAGGCGCCTTCCTTTGAAAGACTTTTGGCAGCATTGCTGGACTGCAGCCAGCGCAGGAGGTACTGCAACATCAACACCTTGGAAAATCGAAGACATCAGTGCCATACTCCTCCTTTGATGTGCCTCCCTCGGATGATCAAGAGCCAACATTAACACCTTCCAACTATCCTCCCAGCACTGACAAAAGGGAGAATTCATGAACATTCCCAGCACATGGTGCAGATTTCTGCGGAACATTGTGAACATTTTCCAAACTGAGTCACCTTCTGGGACAGTCAGCCCCTAAGTCTGAAAGACCACCAAGGACCCCGACCATGACTCGAGGCTTAAAGCACGGCTGTGTTTTCGCCTCGGGTCAGTTATCACTGGCCGTTCATCACTATGGAAGTGCCACCAAGGCATCCAAGGCAACCAAGCCAAACCGTTCCCGCAGTTTGGCAGCAAGTTTTATGAAAGGCTGCTTGATCTTTCTCCACACTGTTTCGCAGCCAACTCATTGCATGAAAGGCTCCTCCTTCTTCATCAACTTGAAGAAAAAGGCTTGCACGTCAGCCTTGCTTGCATCCTCTTCGTAGGACTTGACCGCCAAACCTGCGGAACCGATGAACGCCTTTCCGTCTTTGTTTCATTTTGTTTCTAATTTTCCCTCATCTGTCCATTTCCATCAGGACCTACAATTACCAAGTATATCATAGTATATCCAAGGATAGTCACACCATTGGCACATGACCCAGAATTGTCTCCAACTTTAATCATTCTAATCCAAGCGTGCCTGCACGGGCCAATAGCTCCAGACATTGAAATTGCAACGACCTTCAGAGATCTCGTTGGTCACACGATGTCACAAGATGTCGCCATGACTTTGGGAGATTTCCCGATGCTTAAAATGGAGGTTTCCTAAACTGGGGGTACCCCCAAAATGGAGGATAATGGAGGTTTGTAATGGACAATCATGGACAAACCTGAATCAATCTGATGGAAATGGATGGAAATGGATGATTTGGGGGTACGCGCATTTTCGGAAACCTCCAAATGGACTTGCTGAACAAACCTACCCTCCCCTTGTATGACTTGGCCTTAGCGAGTGTCCCGTCTGAGCCAAGTCGCGAGCATTGCATTGCCACCCGCGGGGCTGCTACGCTACCAACAAAGGTGATGAGCGCCTTGCACAAATCTGGTGCCAAGTCCTTACCGCGCTCCTCAGGTACCAAGATGCAACAAAATGCAGCCGCATGTCAGGTGCTCTTTCTCTCTGTCAGCTATCAAACTGAATCAAACTATCAAACTTGGCCATGGCACTGCAAAAACAGGAATCAGTCAATTTGATCGTTTATCATCGTTTATCATCATTTTCCCATATTGCCCCCATTCAAATGAAGTTTATGTAGTACACCATAGTACATGTTCAGACACACCCACATTGGCGTTATTGCTTTCCCAGGCTCATTTGCTTTCTCGAGAAGATCCTCAACCGCTTCACGGCAGCGTTTAGGGAACGCGCTGGGGACCTCTTGTGCCAAAGCCTTTGCCAGCCTCGTGTCATGTGAAAAAGAAATCCTCACAGTAAAAAAGGTAGGGAGACACAGTAGAAACCTCCCCCCCTCACTCTCTCTCTCTCTCCCCTCTCCATCCAGAAAAATACTTATGCAGTCTTACACACAACCATACAACACATTATATACATTATATGACATCACATTCCATTCCATTACAAGCATGCACACGCACACATACACCATATGAGTTTGTATATATATATACATATATGACACACACACACATATATATATATATAAGACAGTAGTGTCTAGCAACTAGGCCGATTTATGTTGCGAGAATTTCGTCCTTGTATCACTTCAATACTTTCATGTATGCACTTACTACAGCACTGCAGTGGAGATAAGAAACGCAAGGAATTGTGCATCATCCATTGCCATCTGGAGAGGCACACCTCAAAACTTGGCGTTCCAGTTGACTGACCGGAGCACGGAGCACTTGGCGCGGCTGTGCTGCAAGAAGAACCATACGGCTACAGATATGAAATGCTTCACCCTGCACTGATTCTTTGGAGTATTCACACAGGGTGAACTCCATTTAATGGCTCCATGGCATATTTATGCATATTTACTTATATATCATATATTTGCTTCTGTTTAACTGTTTGGGTCACTTTTTGGGTCTGTAACTGTTGATCAATATTCCGTAAACGGAGCATATGAGATTGTTGGATCCTTGGTTCCAACGACATTTTGCCGGTTTGTGGTCTCAACCCCCTGAAGAAAATGGTCATTTGGAATCATGGCAGATAGGGTTGATACTGTGGGAAACCCAATGCCATAAATCGGGATGAAACTGCACCCCAAAAAAGATGCGACTTGGGGATGGTCTCTCTCTCCATTGGCTTTACCACCATTAACATCCACTAATAGTGAATAATTTTGAATATATATATATATAACTTTGAATATAGCTATTATAATTATAATTTACCACCATTAACATCCATTATTATAAGAAACCGCCAGCCAGTGAATCATAGCAGATCAATGCGACCACGCCTGATCTTGTGGCGGGGGTGGTCTTCGCAGTGCCTTTGCAGCTTGCCTGGCAGCATCTTGAACCTCGCGGGACAGCAAAAAATGATGGGAATGATGGTTTGATGGGCGTATAATTGGGATATTATGGCTAATATTGGCCAATTATAAGATAAATCGAAGCTGGCCATGTTGATTTGATGTCTGAAAATGCTGGATTTACCATGATTTACTCCCCAAATGGTCATATTTTTGGAAACCGCCCGTTTCCCCCGGGGCAATTTTTTTGGCAAATTTTCCTCCGCAGGCCTCGTGGCGCCACCAATGGCTTGAGCTCTTGGCTTCAGTGGCCTGGCAAACATATGAACAATATATGAACATGATAACAATATTATAACAATATTATAACAATATGATTTCAAAATATTGTCAACATTATATGAAATCATATGAAACCATCTGAAATCATATGAACTCATATGACATCATATGACATCAACATCATCGAAACACGTGATTTAGATTGATTTAGCAGATCTTGAATGGTCTTGACAGATTCTCGCCAAGCGAATGAACAACCGGCCAAGATGTTCTCGCGATTTTCATCGATTTGTCCCTATACGTCAGCGATCGTCAGCGCCCAGCATGGCCCAGCCCACCTCCCTGGTCATGTTGTCAAGACGCTCTCCTCCACACCTGGTGAAACATCCCCGTAGGCATGGCATGGCATGGCGCAAAACGTTGCTGAGGATGTTACTGGGCAGGCTTGGCATACCAAGGTGAGCCTTTTCGAGGTGCTCCACCTCAAAAAGCAACAAAACATATCAAACTGGATGACCATATGGCTACATCTGGATATGTATATATATATATAGATACGCGCGCACACACACACATATATATGTATATATACATACATAATTATACATACATATATATATATATATATGTGTATAAATATGTATATATATATATGTGCATTTATATGCGCACACACACAAATATGTATATTATAATGATAGTTATATATATATATATATACACATATATAATCATATATATATATAATTATATATATATATATGCATGCATGCATGTATGCATGTATGTATATACATGGTGGACGGTGTAGGATTGTAGAAGTATCACGATGGGTCAAGAGCTGAGGCCTGGAAATGAGTGGTGGAAACGCCTGAAGGGCATGCAGTGCATTGCAGCATCTGAGTTTCTGGCTGGGAGTTAACGTGGAGTTCTTCGGGTACTCCTTCAACGTAGGTGTTCGCTCGCAGAGTGCCTGGTTTTTGTTTTCGATTACATTCGACACCGGATAGGATGGCTTCTGGCCTTGGCTTCCTCGCAAGAATTGTTCGGAGGTCGGACTATGGGCAAGGAATCAGATTTTCCAAGGCTTGCTGCTAACCCTATAGATCCAGCCATGCGTGTAATGGATTGTAATTGCGTAATGGCCAGTCCATGCCCGCTGTTTGTAGTGCTTATGCCCTGCGGCCCTTGCGGTCTTCGGAACTGACCTGGAAAATGTGCTGGAGTGCCAGCTCGTTCTTGTGAGCTGCATCCTGGTTCTCAAAAACACCATTCGTTCTGTCTGATCCCTCGAATACGGCGCAGAGATAAGAGCCCCACAGCATGCAAAGCGACCTGCCCTGTTGGGCAACGGGCATCCACAAAGTCTGAACCTCAGGGCCCGTCCAGTTGATTTTCTACTTCCAAGTCATGGTGAAGACTTATTGGGCACCTTGCCTTGCCATGCCTTGCCTACAGTGATAGCCACTGAGCTGTCTGACCGATGTATTGCCTTGGACCGCAACGAGGACAGGCGAAAGGTGCCATAGTTTGGTGTCTTTCGAGCATACACAAGAGAAGCACTGGTCGTCAATGAAATGAATGGGACAATATCGTATGTACAGACACATGCGCACACATACACGATACAAATACATCAAAGATATTCAGTACAAGTAAGAGACAAACATGGTCATGACAATTCCATGCTGTCAACAGAGTGTATAACTGTAAGATACTGTAAGCAACCAGAGTTTTGTCTTGATGCAGCAATCCCAAGCTGCTGCCTCTGCGTACAATGCTTGAATGCTGATCCCGACCATGGAGACACTTAGAAGCACACCACCACAGCAAGTCACCCCATCTTCTGGCCTCAGAGGTGCCGCAATCGATGCATGATGCAACCATCCAACATATCGCAAGATTTGGCATGAAAATCATGATAGGCCGATAGGCCTTATGAATTTCTAATCTTTATGATGATATGATGCCTTGTTGCCACTTATTGCCACTTATTGCTCTATTTTCTGGTTCAATGTCCCTTAGCCGCCTGAGCCCATGCTCATCATGCTCGCAGCTGCCACTTCTTTTTAATGCCGAGACTGAATCCGCAATCGCGCCGGACTTCCTTCGAAGTCCCAGGGACATCACCGCTGTTCCATGGCATGGAGTTGAACAAGTCAAGTTAGAAAAAGGGTAAACATCGATTCTTAAACATTGAACAGGCATATCATTTCATACAATATTATAATATTATAATTATATAATATCATTAATTATCATTATATAATATATATCTCTTCTTGGGGGCTACTTGGCTAATTACATGGATGTGGTAGTAATTGGAGGTAGTGAGGTGTCGTTGAGCTTCCTTCCAGTTGATTTCAATATTGAAAACAGCCTCACAATGAACAGCACTGAATGAGGGCTTGTCCCAGTAGCAGCGAGGCGAACATGCCAGTCTACAGGTGCACTGAGCACACTTTCACAATCCTCCAGGCCTCCAGGCCACAAGAAAACCCACCCATTGACATTCAACACTTTTCTTAGTCCTATCTTCCAAGTTCACCCTCAGGAGGATACAGTGGAAACGGGTAAATTGTCTGGATACTTCGCAGCTTCTGGAGTGCAATTCTGCAGCTCCTCAGTTTGGATCAATAGTCAGTTTACAGCAATTCTGTGCGCCCCCAAAGGGAACGGAGAGTTGACAGAGTCAGGCAAGAACTTTTCTATGCCGGCTACTCTGGCGGCGCACCTAGGCTATGGCTGATGTCAAGAGCTGGAGATTGCATGAAACTCTTCTGTGATGATCTTAAACTTCAACATTTGCTAAAATATTCACACACCACGCATGAAAGACAGATGTTCAGAATACTGATTACGGAAAGTTACGGAAACCCATCCCGAAAGGGAAAAATGCCCTGGCAACCATTGGCAACCATTAAACTTTCCGACGTTTCTCTGCGGTGAAGCGGCAAAGAGCGTGACTGCACTTGGCAAGCATGACTTGACCTGTGACTGTGGAGATGACCACAGCCTGAGATTGCGAAGTGGGCAGCCAAGGCATAACATGCAGTACATTGCCTGTAACTGAGAGCTTGTGACGTCATAGACACATATAGACACATCCGTGACACGTACAGACTCACACTTTTTTATGTGAAATGTGATGAAATGTGATGAAATGTGATGAAATGTCATGCTGAGGTGCCACTGCCAAGACAATGAAGCCTGCTCTTAAAGTGGAGTCAACGTCAAAGCAGGTGGTAACACCGCCTTACAGCGTGAGGCGAGAGACGTTGGTGTTTTGCAGCTGGATCCAGGTGAGCCATCCAAAAATATCTCAAATCACCATAAATCGCCCAGATTCACCCAGAGTATCCCAAGGCAACATGTGCAAATCAACTGTTGAAGCTGTTGAAGGCTCTGGTTGCTACTGAAGCCCCCATGGCCCGGTGCCTGGCATCTGGTGAGCCAACGGGCTCTTCGCGAGAAGAGCGTCAATGCCATCCTGGGTCTTGCGCCACTGTCTACGTAGCGTACATATTGGGGGTTCCAACAAATGGGGATGCCCAATAGCTGGATGGTTTACAAAGGAAAATCCATCTATAAATGGATGATCTAGGGGTACCATGGGGTTCCCATATTTCAGGAAACCTCCATTGGTCCTTGTGTGTGTGGACATATTTCTCATCGATCTGACTAAGGCCTGCACGCACTTGTCTCCCACAATGAAGTTAGCAAACTGGCGGATCTCCAGAACGCCAGCCAGGATGGTCACGCAGAAAACATCCAGGCCGCTCCTACGGCTGGTGGCCCATGTCCAAGTGTGGCTAGTGACCAGTGACATATCAATATCAACAACATTTAACCAGCACTCAAATCCGAACTCAGCGCAAGCGAAATAAAATGCAAATCCAAACTGCACCACTGTTGCGGCTGAAACTAGTGAAAGCATTGTGCTGTTCAGGAGTGTCACAAATTACTGAATCGAATCAGAAAGGCATCACAGAAGAGTTTTCATCGCTTCCAAAAAGCAAGGACGGTTGCTCTGGAATAAACATGCTATTTTGAGCAAGTTCATACGACACATGGAATATCAAGCACCCAAAGTGCTTGCAAGGGACCAAGCGTTGAGCACTTGCGCCGTTAGGAAAAATTGTTTCTGCATGCGAGTGGTCATCGGGGCGGCCCACAAAACGATAAGGATCACGTGGTAGGCCACCACCACAATGATCGCGAACAGGAAGAAAACTCCTTCAACCAACAAGGTATGCCTGGTGTTTACCCAATGCAGTCCACAAATCTTCAATCGGGCAATTCAGAAGGCTATTCACTAGCTGCTGACGAGATTTGGGGCCCAGGGCTATCCCCAGTCATCCATTTATAATTTGGATACCACAAATTGTGTGGATACCCCAGTCATCAATGGTTTATAGTGGGATACCCCAGTCATCATCCATAAATCCATGGGATCTTCCCTTATAAATCATCCAGCTATTGGGGTACCTTCTGGCTACCAAAAATGTCTCCAGCCTTGGAGCGCCCGGATCCAGAAGCCTTGGCTCTTGAAACCAGGGAAATGTCACGGACACAACTAGAAAACGCTGCAAATACTAGGACAAGTATATATATATAGAATATGGATCTTGTGGGAACTATGTATAAATATATAATTATATACACATTCATATTCATATTCATATACATATACGTATATATGTATATATATATATATATGTGATGGCATACCTGATAATAGTTATTGTTCCATATTATAACCAATGATGATATGGTAAACTAATAGTTTGCCATGGAATATTGCCCATTTAATTACTTTGGTTTAAATATGTTTAAATGTGGTGATTCTCTATGGCAAACTGTTAAATTCCCAGAGTTTGCCCACATCTACCAGCGACCTTGGAGATGATCGACCTCTCGCGGAAGCACGTTGTGATTTTCCAGGTGGCAACAACCAGAGTGAGGGAAGAAGGTGGAATCAACAAATGTGTCAAATGTGATTATTGACATCTCAGTGCACCTCCGTTTTGGGTGATCCACACCATACCTCCATGGATCCAGTTATTGCTTGGTGCTTGGTGGATCCCACAACACGCCAAAATGCTGTTCGGGTCTTCGCTCGCTGCAGGGAGCTGCATGCCTGGCCATTCGAGAACGGATCTTTGAGCGAACTTTGAGCGTTAAGAGGCTTTGGCACGATGCAGCACACACAGAGAAAAACATGCGCGCACACACACACATACATGTATATATATAATATATATATAATATATATATAATATATATATAATATATATATAATATATAATATATAATATATATATATATAAACATGTACATATGCATATGCATATTCATATACATATGCTATACAGTATACACACACATATATATATGTATATATATATGCGCATGTATGCATTTTTGAAAACATAGGCTCCAGTTATGGATCCATTTGTAATATATATATATATATATGTGTGTGTGTAAGTATGTGCTGCATTAATGTATCCATTCAGTTTCTCTCCCCCTCTCTGTGTCTATCTCCAGTTCTCTCTCTCTCCCCGTGTGATCACGTTTTGTATGTATGTATATGTGCACATAATTATAATTAATTATACATATGTGATACGTACATCAAGGACAAGGATTCATTCCAACTTCCCAAGGGTTTCCGTGGCACGCCTAGGCTAAAGACGGAGAAAGGACGATGCTGGTCCTTGTCTGAGCAGTCAGTTGTCAAACCAAACAGAGTCAACAGCGCAACAAACCGTATTTTAGCTAGCAACCTTTGCCGTTTCCACAGGTTCAATTTGTCACATCAAAAAACTTGAGTTATGTATAGTATTGTATAGTTCTATCTTGTATCATCATCTTGTGTCGACTTGTAATTGTCTCAGAACAATTAGCTGCTACAATCTCGTCATTTTCTGCGTTTTAGTGCTTCACTCTCAGCTTTCCCGCCTCTCCCAAGGCGTATCCCGCAAGGCCCAGGAAGTTGAAGTTGAAGGTCTGCAGAAATGTGCCACAAAGGACCAGCAGCAAGGACACACTGATGGCCACTGTGGGGCCGTGAACATCCACTGCACTGGAGGATGGGAGGACGTAGCACAAACGTCGCTTCTGCGCTACCTCAGAGGATGGGATTCGTGGATTCCCATGGGTCATATTGAGTCATCATATTCCCTAAACCAGCTATAAACCAGCTATAAACCAGCTATAAACCAGCTATAAACCAGCTATAAACCAGCTATAAACCAGCTAGTACCAGTACCATCCAGTACCTGTGAAGAAGAAATTCATAGAAATTCCAGAGATTCCAGCCAAGAGGCATCGCCTTGTACGCCAAACTCGCCGATCTTGTGTGCATAGCGATGGCAAGCAGTCGTGACGTGACCACAAATCAACGACATGAAGGTAGCGATCAGGAAGGAACTCGGTGGCAGAACAAGATATGACAAGATAAGACAAGTACAAAATAGAATTTCATCATAATATCTGAAGCTCAACCTGCGCAGTCTCCCGCCCTTGGTGCGTGGAAAATGTCATGTGTCTTTGAGGTTCAGTCCCTAAGAGCTTGAAAACATTTGAATACCACTTTTCCTTCTGTTGCTCATGACTGGCTTACTGGAGATTGAAAGATCACTGGAGATCAAAACCCTCAAGACTGTTAGAGCACATTTATGTTCTTTACATCTTCACTTGCACAAGCCCTATCTGTCAAGCCACTAGAATCCATAGAGCGCTTCTACCTGGACCTGGAACTGTCCATTGTCACCGGACTCCCGCAAAATGTCATTCAATACGCCACTGCCTGTAGGTGCCTAGGAAGCACAGCGGACGCCGAATCCAACATTATGTCAACAGCATGTCCAGTGTCAAAATGTCAAGAATTCTAGAGTGATTCGTTTCTAGAGTGATTCGTTTATTCAGTTCATCAACTCCAGGCTGCAGCCAAGTCAAACTTGAACGCAACCATGAACATGACCATCACGAACCTCAGTACTTGATGAGCGCAAGCCGTGCAAGCTGTGCAAGCTCGATGTCTTAGATATTGCTCCGGCTCACTGACTGTATTGGGGGCGAAGGATAGATGCTTCCCAACATGCAACGACTCATACTTGAGTCAATCTAAATGACCACGTCACATGTGACATCGGATTTTAATTGCAAGTCTAAGTGAACATGCCTCAAAATTGCACAAACATGTCACGCACTCTTGCAATTCAGCACGTGGTTCAGTCAACTTGCGAATGGCTGCCTTCCACTTCCAACCCACAGGCCTTTTGGGATGCCAAAAAGCAGCTGTTTTTACAAGAATGTGATATCAATCAGCATTGCGCAGTTGGAGGGGTGCCATTTTATCGCTCCTTTTTGCAGCACAGGTAGCGTATCAACCAGCGACCATTTACCGAAGGCATCTAGAAAGTTCAGCAAGCCCTGGCGCTTGCTGATGCTGAGATATGCTGGAGGCGTGAACCAGCAAACCATCCTGGATGCGCGGGAAAACTTCCTGCTATCTGAAAACAAAGGTGAAGCCAAACATATCAAACATGGCTATCCATCCTCAATACCGCAAATGGCTGGTAAAAATGATCGCCGAGCAGCATGAGCATTGGCTTCATGTATGGCCAAATGCCACTGAAGCAAATAATAAGAAGCCCGAGCGCATAGACCTTTCCTGCACTTTGATCGGCTCGGGTTTCACGAACTCCATTACTCACATAACAATCTTGAAACAAACTCTACAAGAAGTGTTGCATGCGTTTTGGGAAATCCACTGGGGGATTCAAATTTATAGTTCATGGGTTGCTTTTACCGTTGAAAGAGTGCGATGCTTGAAGACACACATGGCACAGCGCTGCAACCTGGGAGCCAGTGGCAGTGGCAGCCAGTGAAGAAGAATGCTGTACTGGAAATGGGTTGCATAAACCCCAATTCTTCAGGGTTTATCATTGGGCATAGGTTTACCAGATTATTCTGCTAGCTTTTACCACATTATTACATGGGTTTACATGGTTTTTCTCGTAATCTTTGCGGCCAAGCTTCCGTCGAACATATCCTTGATACTTCCGATGAGTGAGAAGCCGAAGACTGGAGGAATCTCTGTCGCTGGTCGGCCATTGGCTGTGATGTAGATCTGTCAGCAAGTAGTGTTAAAAAAACATGTCGGTGCAAAAAACAACAACAATTGGGATTAATTAATTCAGCAAATATTGGATATACATACATGTATATATATACTGTATATATATATATATATATATTTGTTTTTGACATAAATTGCATCTCCAATTAACTATATATAAAATACATGGTATACATAATACATATAATAGTAAATAATATAAAGTAAATCAAATTGATTCTAAACATGTCGAAACTCATTACGATACACATGATCCAAACAACTACTTGGATTGAGATGCACCTTCACCACTGCGCCAACGCCAGAATTGCTGGATAGGAACCTGAGCGAAACAGGAAGGAATTATCAAGAGATTGGATGGGATCCACGTTCAAGCTCTGTTTGACGCAACGGAAGCATGGCCTGAGAATAAAGATAAACTAGGGGTGAAATGCACCAATTATATCCAATTATGCAAAAGGTATGGGGTTTAAATCTTCCTAGCCTCACACATGAGCAAACAAATGCTGGCTGAGCAGCAAAAGCATGGTGGACAACATCAGCAAAGGCAAACCCCATCCTCGGACAAGAGTTGCAATTGAAACCGAAAGAATGGTCAAGACTTTGTTCAGCGCGGTGCCGTGGTGCTCTCCCTTTTTAAATGCTTTGCCTGTCAGGTATACGTAGATTCAGCAAGTAATGCATACGCGGGTGCAGGCCACAATGTACGTCAACAACAATGCTGTAGATATTTGCCAGATTCTGGCAAGAAGACTAAGACGAAACAACTGTTGAGACTGTTATTGTAAAGACAGGTAGTTAACGAATAGCAAACGAATAAACGGACCGACAACAGGCACGAGTAGTTAGAATGATAGGAAAAATGGAGCATGGCTCGAAGACACCAGTGCAAACATCGTCCTTCAATTGGATTTTTCCAAGGTTTTTCTGCGCAGCTCTTGTGCTCTTCTGTTGGATGGTACAGTTTTTTTGCGGTGGACTTTTGCCATTGGTTGATGCAATATCTGTAGCCGTTGAGCATCGGAAACCAGGGCGAATTCGCGGATGGAAGGCCAAACTTGATGCCTCTCCACCTGGCATGTTCAGACACAACTGGATCGTCCTGACATCCCAAAATCACAAAGTGCCACAACATCAAATGTATGTATGTATGTATGTATGAATGTATGTATGTATGTATGTATATCAGTATATTATCTTCTATTTAGTCCAAACAATAGGTAGGACATCCCTGTGCAATTCGCCTTCAAGGCCTGGGTGTCCAGTCTCTACTGCCAAAGAAGTAGGGTCTGTTCTGGTTGAGCCAGTCGAAGCCAAAGAAGTTGTCTGCGCGTCGAGTCGGAAGTCCAAAAGGGATTCGCGACTCACGTGACTGCGCCACATATATATATATATATACACATACATACATATCATAACCAAGGGTTTTTTGGGATGTATGTTTGGGATATGGGGCCCCGACTTCCTTTTGTAACATAAAGTGAAATATATCACATATCCAATTCTAGTAATTGTTACTAGCAGTAAAAGTGCTGTTTCTGCAGGGCAAACTGGGTGATTTGCTGTCACACCTTGCCTGGCACATTTGTCTGGTCTCCACCTTCTTGGGGCTAATGAGGGCACTGAGGCAAAATCCAATCGAAACCTGGCAAAACCAGGACACGCCGCCCCCCTGATGATTGGCGGGTAGTTGCGTTACTTGTGGGTATAACCATGGTTAGTGACGGTTAGTGGTTAGTGTGAATGATCCTTGGATATTTCCATAAACGTCATGGGTCAAGTCTTGCAAGTTTTGTGCAGCAGTGGCACCAGGTGAAAGCAGCAAACCAAGTACCCTCTCACTTTTCTGAAGCGCAAGCCGTCTTAGGCCAAGACGACGCAGGTGGTCACGGAAAGCAGCCATGCCATGGCAGAGAGGGTTTGATTACTGTAGTCCTTGGCATGCAGTTTGGAATCTGCTATGATGAGATATGCAGGTCACAGCACGGGAAGGCAGCTTATATGACGAAAATCCGGAACTTCAACTGCAATGACCACCATGCGACCTGCCCTTGGGGGCGAGAATTGGCATTTGCGTTTCGGGGCTTGATCATGACCTACTACAGTATATATATATATATAGTAAATATACTTCCAAAGGTTCTGGCGAGAGTCCTCGAAGGGTGGTGGACATGCACCCGCGGTCTGCAAGGTCTGTTGAAGCTTTGAGTTGACCTTGGCGCAGGGAAGAACGCCTTCCTTGGATATCACCTGCTCAAGCCTGCTCACCTTGAAAGGGCCTTTCGCATCCTTAGCACATGTTGCACATCACACACACACATATATATATAATTACATATACATAATATAGTATAACATACATTATATTATATAATAAATAAAACATATTAATTATATAAAAAGTATACTATAGAATATATAATATATAATATATAATATACAATATATAATATACAATATATAATATACAATGCTTGCGTCCCCCATGTGACAAGACCGCACAGCCATTCAAAAGTGGCGGTCTTTAGCTTCGAACTGCCTCGATTCCTCTGGCAATGATCAAGGCATGACCCGCTTCTCCGAGGGCATCCTTGTAGGATCCTGGGGGTCTTTTGCGGTTGAATGGGTGGAATGTTCATGATAAATGTGGTAACTATTACAGTGACTATTGAGGATAATGCTAAGTATACCATAAATGTACAGAATAGTACGTATATATAAGAAAAAACCGTGTCTCAATTATTCGGGTAATTATTGGGATAGCCGTTTAAACTAAAATTATTGGGATGACTTCCGTGCAAAGATGTGCAAAGTACATATATAAAGTTTGCACCCTGACTTTGCAGCAAAGCAACCAAGTAGGAGAGAAGCCGCAGCATTGATCATGTGATCGACATCGTGCTCCAAATCTTGCCCTGGTGTGATTGTTTCTGTGTCCCACAGGCGTGAGCTCTGTGACCCACATCGGGGGGCCCAAGAGGAGTTTCTCGCGACATGTGAAATCCATTGAAATCCTTGAAGATCTTGAAGGGGGTTGGAAGTGCGTGGAATGGTTGCGGTTTTGTAGGCTTGTTTCTTGGGCCGTTTTTCGCTGCTTCAGGTAGAAGCAATGAGTTCAACATAATTCGGGCTCTGATCAACCAAAAAGAGGCATCACATACATCTCAGCAGGCAAACTTGGCCATGCAGCTATTTTTTTAAAGATTTCTTGAAGGAAGTTCTAATAAGCTAATATATTCCAATATGATTGTCATCTAATGTCATCTGCATCCACACACTGTGATCATCTGTGATCCACCACCGCATCACCGATGTCCCAGGCACCACTTTGAGGCGTCAGCTGGGTGGTGAATTCTTTGGCCCCGACGTCGCACTGCAGGGCTGCGGCAGCATCAACCCCTGGGGCCACGCAGCCCATTTCACCCAGTTGGTCGGCACCAAGTGGAGACAACTTGCTGGCATTCAATGCCTCAACGTAGCAGAACATTGCAGAACAACATGGCGAAAAACATCGGTGAATATCGGTTAATAGTGGTTGATTGATGGTGATGAGTTGTGATTAAATGTGATTAATGTTTTTTAATGGGATTATCCTCTGGTAATCAAACATGGCTGTAGAAATGAAGGTCTATAGCTGGGAACATCATCTATATAAATGATGGATTTTCCAGCAAGCCACGTTACCTCCCCAAATGGCAGTTTAAACATGGTTTAACGGGAACAATTTGGGAAAAACACTTTTTTTTTTCCTCCCTCACCAAGCATACCAAGCAATGACTGGAGCCGTTTCTGCCGAGATGCCAGAAATCCCAAACCTCCAACTGAGAATTCAGACCTCAGATCCAAATAGATCCCGGTGAACGCTGGAAAACAAATCCAAGATAATCCAAGACACTTTCAGGGCTTGTCCCCAATTTAAAACAGGAAGTCAAGAGATCATAAAGATCCATAGAATTTCATCAAGCTTCTGTGAAGATCAGGATGTACCAAACGATCCCGGCGTGGCATGAAGAGATCGCTTGCACATTCAACGTGCTCAAAACAACTGAGTCTGTCTGTATCGGCAAAATGCTATGAACACAGCAAAGAAACTGCAATTGCATGAATGAATATACCACCGAATTGAGATAGACCCGGCCATGAGTCTGGGAGTTGAAAGTCTATTCTTCCCCAAGCTAAAATAGGCGCAATTCTCAGGGGTCTAAATGGTCTAAGTCTATCCGAAAGCTTCCCAGAAAAGTTGCGACCGGTCGCATTTCCAGCCAAAGCTCAGGGCCACTTTTGCGGAGAACGTCTCTTTCAGCTCGTCGCCGGTTATGGAACCATGCGGCTTCACGCCCAAAGTTATCCTTGAGATGGGATGAGTGGGGCCGATATTCCCACCGGCCAATGGGATTCCTTATCTACTGGGTATATTTCTCCATGTTAATGGGGGTTGACCGTTGGCTTTCATGTGTATGATATTATGGGAAACTAATAGATAACATGTTTTAAAATCTTTAAAATTTAAGAACATGTTTTGACCATGGCACATTTGAAGGTCTGACTGGGCAAATGGGGCATGGCCTGTGAGACAATTACCTTCACGACTAAAGGTGCAGCATATATGTATAAAAGTGCTGCATGGACTGCATGGAAAACATATTAAATGTAAAATCGCTCGAATGTGGTAGTAGTATCGGCTGCAGTATCTGCCAACCATAGAAGTATGTACAGTATCATACATGACGCAGTAGGAAAATGAATGATCAGGCCATATCAGGCCTGGCTTGCACGGCCAAGCGTGCCAAGGAGAGAAGCAACTGGAGCTCTTGCGGGTGTGGGCTGTAAAAGTCCATGGCGCTGAAAGAGTTCAAGTGACCTCGACTGCCAGGAAACCATCAACTGAGGTCAAGCTGAGCGACTCCGTCAACCAGATTTCCATGTCAGTATTACTAGGAGCTCTATAAACTTCAATTTATGTGAATGATACGATAATCGAATATAATTAGTCGCATATAGAGAGAGAGAGATATATATACACATATTATATATATAATTTTATCATATATATATAGTATTATATAATATATATTGTATTATATATATTTCATTATGTTCCCATATTAAGAAACAGTTGTGATACACGTGGTCCGACCTAGGATACCAAGGTCCTTGGAAATAACCACGGGGTTTCCCGGTTTCCACCATGGTGCAAGTAAGGTGCTGAATGAAGCATTCTCAAGCGTGATGTTGAGCCGTCCAAGATTGTCGATATCAATTACCTCTACACCATGGTGATCAGCCAAACGTGCCACACGGAAAACATCTGCGGCTTCCAAGGACGGGGTCAGATAGGACCGGTTACAACCTCTCAATGAATAGCGGGCCCTGAGGCGGGCAAAATTCACTCTGGGATCATGGGTTCCCATAGAAAACTATCCCTCCCGTGGTGGCGCCTTGGTCACTGGCAAAGTCACCACGGAGTCTAGTGAAAGGTTCCCATCTGCGCCAAGAAAACGTTCTAAAAGAGCGTTGGCACCTGTCGATTCCAATGTCAAGCTGCGATCTGGTAAGGTCATCACAATGACCATTGATTATCCACAAAGGATACCCCAAGAAACTTTCTCCATCTTTCTCTCCCTGTGAGCCTACACGGAATAGTACGTCCTGTAACTATGTCAATGCGCGAGGAGGTTCTGCGGCCAAGTGGCTGTTTGGAGATCTGTTGTTCCTCAGCAATCACTGATCACAATATCCCAGACAGGACCCCCATCTGCTTCCAATGAGATATGGCAGATTCATGTAGAGCTGGGACTGTGGTTAAGGGATCACTTAGAGCACCGGAAAGTGGATCACTTAGAGCACCGGATCACTTAGAGCACCATGGGATCACTTAGAGCACCAAAAAGTGATCACTTAGAGCACCAGAGAATGAGACCTTTAGGGTTTGATTTGGGGACACGGGGCTGGGACATGGGGTGGGTTTAGGGGACGAGCATGGTGGAATGAGACCTTGGTGGGTTTAGGGGACCAGCATGGTGGAATGAGGCCTTTAGGGTTTGACTTGGGGACACGGGGCTGGGACATGGGGTGGGTTGGGTTTAGGGGACCAGCATGGTGGACTACATGAAGGCACCAGAGAATGACACCTTCTAGGCGTTTCATATCACTTTGAGGTCTAGAACGCCTGCAGAGACACAAGAATGGTCTTCCGTACCTTCAATAAGTAATTCCAAGCGAGGTCAGCATGTCAATTCGATGGTTCGCCTCCTTGTACTCACGAAACTATCAGACATGGGGGAAAAATCAGTCCCGTTCATGTGTCCCGCGATTCCACACCAGCCCTGCATTGCCCTGCTGACATGCATGCCCTATGTACATATGTCTGTGTATGCGTCCCTGTGTATATGTGCATGCATGGCACAATGCTTGCATGCATGGCACAATGCTTGCATGCATCCATGATCATGTATTTATGTATTTATGTATTTACGTATTTATGTATTTATGTATTTATGAATTTATGAATTTATGTATTTATGTATTTATGTCTGTCTGTCTGTCTGTCTGTCTGTCTGATTGTCTGTCTATCTGTCTGTCTGTCTGTCTGTATCTTTAAACCCGCCTTTTCTGCAAGCTATGTGTGTATGCATGTCTCTTTATAATGCAATGTCATGTAATGTAATGAAATGTGGAATGTAATGTAATGTGATGTGATGTAATGTAATGTGCTGTAACTGTAAAGGTATGTGCCGTAGTGTGATGTGATGTACTGTAATGTGATGTGATGTAATGTAATGACATGTAATGAAATGTCATGTGCTGTAATGTAATGTAAGGTATTGTACTGGTATGTTATGTGATGTAATGGCATGTTCTGTACTGTATTGTAAAGTGATGTAATGTAACGTTATGTACTGTAATGCTGTGTGATGTAGTGTCATGTAATGACATGCAGTGTAATGTAATGGGATGTTATGGTATGTTCTGATTATGTTCTGTTATGTTATTTAGAGGGTCGGAGAGCAGAAGCACTTCGAGCGCCGGAAGGCGGATCGCGTGTAATGTATGTCTGCGTGCATCTGCCCATGTCACTACCTGCGTGCTTCAGTGCTTCCGCGTGTAGGCACGTATGAATGCATCCACTTATGTGTCTATGCCTCTGTGTATATATATATATGTGTGTGCGTGTGTGGAACTCTAGCGCTATGTATCTCTTATGTCTCTGTGGGTGTCACTTTTCGGCGTTCCAAGCGATCCACTTTCTGGCGCTCTAAGCGATCCACTTTCCGGCGCTCCAAGCGAACCCCCGACCGGAACTGTGGGCAGAGCTAATGGATGGCAGAGCGAGCCAACTGATGGACCGAAAGGTGGTTGAGGCTCTGCTTCCCTCTCTCTCTCTCTAACTCTCTCGCTCTCTCTCTCTGTCACCTTCTCTCTGTGTATCTGTATCTCTCCCTCTGTCTGTCTATCAGTCTATCTATATATCTCTGGTGTAGTGTAGTGTAGTGTAGTGTAGTTGTCATTGTAGGTGTAGTGTAGTGCCTTGAAGTTTCAGCTGTAGCTGTACTTACAGTTGCTGTAGTGTAGTTGTAGCTGTAGCTGTAGTTGCACTTGTAGCTGTAATTGTAGTGTAGCGTTGTTTAGTTGTAATTGTATAGTTATAGTTGTAGTTGTAGTTGCCACGAAACATGAATGTTGAACGTCCAAAAGTAGTCCGAGACTGTCAGTTTTTGAAATCTTTTGACTTGCAAATATGCTTCGCGCCACACTGGCGTGCACTTTGTAGACATCTCAACGTCCAAAAGTAGTCCGAGATCGTCGGTTGTTAACACCTTTGAATACTTTTGACTTGCGCATGTGCTTCGCGCCACAGCGGGGTGCACTGTTTCGAGATCGCAACTTCCAAAAGTGGTGTGACAATGGTGTGCTTTTAACATGTTGACTTCGAAATGTGCTTCGCGCCACAACGGCGTGCACTTTTTGAACATCTTAACTTCCAAAAGTGTTCCGAGCATGACAGGTGTTTTGTACATTTATGTACATTTTGACTTTAAAATGTGCTTCGCGCAACAGCGGCGTGCACTTTTTGAACATCTTAACTTCCAAAAGTGGTCCGAACCTGTGGTGTTTTATACATTTTGACTTCAAAATGTGCTTCGCGCGACAGCCGAGTGCAATTTTTTCTCTCTCATCCGACCAAATGGCTACCCTCCGGAGCCACAAGACATTGAAAAAACAGTGTTTCACGACTTTTCTACCTTTTCGAGCGTGCGCCTCTTCTTTCTGCTGACTCTTTCTCTGCTGAGCCTTTCTCTTTTCTGACTGCTCTCACCACTGTTGCTGCATTAGTCCATAAGTCGGAAGTTTGACTTCTAAGCTTTCTTCGATCATATCTTAGCAGTTCTTATCATATTTTGACCCATGCTGCTGCATTGTGCATACCAAGTCACCCCAAGACCTTTGTCACCACGCTGTGTAGCAACTCCTTAGCCGAGATCTCGCTTCGCGGGCACGGACCCTGGTGAGCGCTTAGCCACCTTTAAAAGCAACCCCCAGAAAGATAGAAAAATTGGACACCTAGAAATGATGGGCAAAACATTATATATACCATCTTGGAAACACGTTTCCCTCTTTTACGCGTTCTAGACATGCTATGGCATACTCTTAAACCCAACACCATTGGCAATGACAAAACAAATAGACAAATAGGATCAAATAGGAACCAAATCCTCGGGGATGCTTTTGTCACGTGTCATCGTTTAGCATCTCAAAGCTTGTTAGGACGTACTGGCCAATAGGTTCAAGCCAGCCCCCTCGGGCCCTTGAGCTCTTTTTCTTCGCTTGGTGAGATCTCTTTGTTGGGATCAGGCTCCACTACTTTTTTTTAGAGCCACATTGTGGGACATGTGTCATTCCTGGACATCAATGCAGTCTCTGTCGATTGAACATGGCCAAGAGGTTGCAAGTAAAACCACGGAGATGCTTGAAACGGATGGGACAGATTTTATGAATGAATATTTTCATGAAGAACCAGTTTCATTAATAAACCAATTCATGAACCACAATGGTTGTGCATTATCAACATTATCAACATGAATGCATTAGCAAACCAGTTCTGAAGAACAGACCCATGTTGCACAGAACTGCCTTGGAAGACATGAGCGTTCTGCTACGCAGAAGCTCTCAAGAAAACTGTAGCTTCGCCAAGTTTGCTCCACAACCTGAAGATGCAAGAAGGTACGCAACACAACAACGCGTGCACAAAGAAACGGGATGAAACAGAACATGTTGCACACAATTCTGCATTCAGGACCGAACCTTTTCTATCCAATAGCTAGACCTACTTGTGGCCTCGTGAAATGTTTCTGCCATACAGGCAATGTCGATGACGCTGGAGATGACACCAGTGATCCAGATTTTTTCCGCGATCTTTCGATATTCATGTTAGAGATGATGTTGAAGTTGTGAATGTTGCCATCAGCACGCCTTCCCTGTCTCTGACCCCTAGCATCCATGGACCCTCGCTGCCTTTCTGCGAAATAAAACGGCGCATGTTCACATCCCCGATCACTTGGAACCTTAATTTCACACTCAAACATATGACGTGCTTTCAAAGGAGCTCCGCTTCACTCTGCACATGAAAACACGGCCCAAGGATTTGCATTCCTGGAATTCTTTGACTCGTCTTTAAGCACATCTTGTGGTGAGCCTTTCAAGGCATCGTTGAAGCTGCTAGTTGCCACAGATTCCGATTCCCCTCTCCTCCAGCTGCCAAGAGACGAAACAAAATGGATTGTAGACCAAACGTTAACATCACCGGGCCTTTGCTCAACACCCGCGCCATCCCGTGCCGGTGTCTCTACCCATCTTATCTCTTTCCACTCTAAAATACTCCCATGTCAGGTAAAACAATCAGAAACCATCCCCGAATTCACCATAAATAGGTGCTATAAACCATTCCCAAATGGCCAAATGGGTCAAGTCATTAGGTTTTTCCAATTAAATTGGACATTAATTTGGAAAGTAAATTGGATGGTTTTTCTCCTAAACTAGACATTTCCATCTGTTTAAACCATTAATGGTCCATTTTGACCCACATCCAAACGGAGTCAGTGAGGAACTTGGCCTCGAATCCCGACCCGCCTCGTGCTCGCTATGCAGGCTGGACCTAACTGGATGGATGACATTCCATGATAGTCCATATATATATAATCACACACACAAATATATATAATTATATATTTATTTATAGTTATATATATTTATTTATATATATATTTATTTATAGATATATATATATTTATTTATAGTTATATATATTTATTTATATATATATATATTTATTTATAGTTATATATATTTATTTATAGTTATATATATTTATTTATAGTTATATATATTTATTTATAGTTATATATATTTATTTATATATATATATATATCTATTTATTTATAGTTACCTATATTTATTTATATATATATATTTATTTATAGTTATATATTTATTTATATATATATTTATTGATATATATTTATTTATAGTTATATATATTTATTTATAGTTATATATATTTATTTATATATATATTTATTTATAGTTATATATATTTATTTATAGTTATATATATTTATTTATATATATTTATTTATAGTTATATATATATATTTAAATATATATATATATATTTATTTATATATATTTATTTATAGTTATATATATTTATTCATATATATATATATTTATTTATATATATTTATTTATAGTTATATATATATTTATAGTTATATATATTTATTTATTTATATATTTATTTTTATATATATATATATTTATTTATAGTTATATATATTTATTTAAATATATATATATATTTATTTATATATATTTATTTATAGTTATATATATTTATTTATATATATATATTTATTTATATATATTTATTTATAGTTATATATATTTATTTATATATATATATTTATTTATATATATTTATTTATAGTTATATATATTTATTTATAGTTATATATATACATATATTTATTTATAGTTATATATATACATATATTTATTTATAGTTATATATATTTATTTATATATATTTATATATAGTTATATATATTTATTTATATATATATATATCTATTTATTTATAGTTATATATATTTATTTATATATATATATATTTATTTAAATATATATATATATATTTATATATATATATTTATTTATATATATTTATTTATAGTTATATATATTTATTTATATATATTTATTTATAGTTATATATATTTATTCATATATATATATATATTTATTTATATATATTTATTTATAGTTATATATATATTTATAGTTATATATATTTATTTATAGTTATATATATTTATTTATATATATATATTTATTTATATATATTTATTTATAGTTATATATATATTTATATATATATATTTAAATATATTTATTTATAGTTATATATATACATATATTTATTTATAGTTATATATATTTATTTATATATATTTATATATAGTTATATATATTTATTTATATATATATCTATTTATTTATAGTTATATATATTTATTTATATATATATATTTATTTAAATATATATATATATATTTATATATATATATTTATTTATATATATTTATTTATAGTTATATATATTTATTTATATATATATATGTATTATGGGAGTATAGCCCACGAACTAATCAGTACTTCTTAATCATCAGTCAACCGGGGTTTAGCAGCCACTGCTCACTTGGAATCTGTTGGTTTGTGAATGTTGGGATAGTTCATATACAATATTTCATGATTCCACATTGCGTCAGAAATCAATGTGCCCGGCCTGTGTGAGGGTAAATTTTCACCCGCCGAAGCTCTCGAAGCACGCCTTCCCTGAATAGATACGCCCAGAGACATGGACGCTCCTGGTGGGCTAAATGTTCCCACTGGCATTCTCACTGATTTTCTCATTGGTCTGAGTTCAGCAGAGTGCATCTTGGAGCCGCGGCTCCCTCGACGCCGTTGATAGGAAGCTGGTGGACGCGAGGATCCCAGACTGTTCATCCCGATCCTGGGTCCCATCTGATCCATCTGACTCTTGCGACAAGCAGCCGAGAGCATGTCACAATATGTCACATAAATTCACATAAATTCGCATAATATATCATAATATATCATAATATATCATAATATCACACAGTATCACACAGTATCACACAGTATCACACAGTCCAAGCCTGCAAGTAGGTCACATTGGCAGTGACATGGAATTCTGCATTGAAATTGAATGCCGACCACGCTGGGCATTCCCCTGGCTGGGGAATGCCATGCCCCTTGTGAGACCTTGCAGAGTGCTCTCCAAATTTGCAAGAGATCGCTTGAGAGCAGCTTCCTTGGCTGTTTGTTGATCCCCGGCCAAAGGTTTAGTTGCTTATGTAGCTTATGTATGGTTATGTGGTCACTTATGGCAAATACATCGCCCAAAACAAACCAATCCATCAAGCTTCTGTGGCCCTCAAAACGAGATGTTCCACTTGTGCCACTGCTGCAGAGGCAGAATGATTGGCTCCGACATTGGACTCGGCCACATCATCAAACCCAGAATCAACCTTGGCGTCCTCAAAGGTATTGGTTGTTCGCAGTTCATCCTCCATGGTTTTTTTCCCAACAAATTGAGAAAACGAAAAACCACATAAACCAAAAAAACATCAAATGAATTCAAATGACTCATGCAAATGATTGCGCATGTATATCAAACATGTTCAGGCGTTCTGTTGTCTATTGACATCAGGAAAATCATGTACAAATATGTGCAAGCAAGCATCTAGCGAATCTAGCGCACCAGTTTCGCCAACACTTGGGCGATTTGGATTAGCACTTTCCTTCAGATCTTTCAGATCTTTCAGTTCTGTCGCCAGCGTCACAGGAGCCAAGCTGCGATGTGGCTGTTCAGGAGCCTCTGCTTCCAGCAACCTGGTGACAGCCTGGTCAATTTCTGCATCGTCCTGCGTGAAAAACTGTCGGGATTCACTTGGAGACGACTGGGGAGAAACACCCGCGAAGAGTCCCGACCCTTTCAGGATGCTCTCCAATGCATAGTCGCTGTAGTCCTCACACCAAGTGTGTTGCCATGAAAACCAACATAAACCAACAATATATATAATATATATACTATATAATATATGTATATACATATATATATAACAAAAAATGTTTACTATTATTGTTTATCAAAAACAAACATGAAATCAAACTATCACTCACTACACCGACTCAGAAGGGAACTACTTAACGAAACAGCTAGCTCTAATGTAGCTGGAGGCGCGGGATAAAGTCAATGCAGTCCAGTAGGGGAAACATGGGAAACTGAGAGAGAAAAATCAGTCATTCAGCGAATCATTCAGAGTCAGTCATTCAGTCCCTGATTCGATTACCCATCGATTCATTGTGTCACTAAGTTACTCCATGAATGAAACATGCATGGACAATGTCAGTCAGCCACAGTTCCGTAGGGTGGTCATTCCCAACAGCACTGCCTGCTGGGTTTCAACCTCTGGGTCTGGGGACTGGTGCGCCCTTTCTTCCTGGCCCTGACAACTGGAACGGAAGGTGCTGTTAGCTGGGTTAATTTCTTTTTTTGGCCGCTACAATTTTAACGGAAAACAACTGTGCAAATAACAACGTGCAACATCGTCCTTGCCAAATCTCTACAACATGACAAGATATGACAAGGGGATTCAAAAGGTTTCGTTTGTAACAAAACCAAGGGTCCAGCCGAGACGATAACATCTCAAATTGTTCGTGAACTGTCTCATACAGTTCTTCCTGCATCTGCAATGACCGCAGAACGTTGTACTTGACGAAACGGGGCGCCGTCTTGCTGTCATGCACCCAGCGGCTCAAAGCAGCGATAAATTCAGAACTCTCAATTTCTCCTTCGCCCGTGCTGTCAATCATGTCAAAAAGTTGCCGCAAGTCTGATTCATCTATGTCCATCACACGCAAACGGCTCTGGAATTCTGGGTCTTTCCGGGCTCCTTCGACCAATTCCTCATACGAGACAAGGCCGCTCCCATCCTCATCAATTCGCTCAAACATTCGTTGCAATATTTTTTGATCATTTGCAAGGTCAACCTCCAAATCCTCCGCCAAGTGAATCACATCTCGTTGGCGATATTCTGCAAACGTGTCGACAACTACCTGTGTGTGTTTTGGTTGCAGCTGGACGGTGTCTTTACATGTTTTTACGGCCGCTTTTCCCGAAAGCACCTGCGTAGGGTTCCTTCCAAACATCATGAACATCATCATCATCACCATCACCATCACCATCACCATCACCATCATCATCATCATCATCATTTTAATCTTACCATCACCACCATCATGATGATGATGTCGTTGATGGTGATGATCGGGGCGGCTGCAGCGTAGCAGAGCGCTGGCGGCCACACAGCCGCCACGCATGCACACAGAATCTCAGTGGAGGGGTGGGGGATTGCCATGTTGTTTGAGATGGGCAGTAACCCCTTGCGTCTTGGGTCTTGGGCCGCAACCTTTTAGGCGAAGCTGCAGTGGCTTGGTGTTGCCAGGCGTGGAAGGCGATTGCTTTCGTAGCTTCTTCCGGTGGGACTGCTTGGATATTGTGCTCGTGACCCTTACTGTGGATCCAAGCTTTTGGGTTGGTGCCCCAGTTCTGCCCGATCCTTCCAAGCTTTGGCAGTACAGCCTGGCGGACAAGGAGAGTGGTGGTGTTGCTTGGGGATGCAGTGTTTCGACCTCACCGGGTCACATGTTGTAGTCGCATGGCTATCCAACGGCGGTTGCCAGCTGCTGCGCGTGTGCGATCGATTACTTCCTTCAGAATTTGTTGACCCGCTGAGCGAATAGGCGGTGCTGAGGGAAGCATGCACAAGCACCGCGCCCCCACCCCACACCACCCCATGATCAACGTAGCATCCGCTACACGTGCAAGTGACGTTTTCGCCCCCCCTCCCTATAGCATCGGTAGAGTACGCAACGCAAGTGACCTTACACGAACATGAAAATGCTAAAAAAAGCAACAGACCGTGGTTGGGTCTCTGTAGTCTTTTTTGTTTGCGTCTGCTTCAGCTTTTCTGATTTTGCAAGTTTCAAGAATGTTTTGGTTAGCAGTGGATCGGCGGAGTTGTTTCCATCGGTTTTGGCCGCTGACTGCTGGTGTCGCTTTAGGACCTTTGCAGGGGATGGTCTGTTGGCTTCTGTCCATAAAGTGCAACCCGGTGACACTTGGTGCATATGAACAAAAAATCATTTCCGACTGCTTTTTTGTTTCTTTTGCGTGGGCCAGGTGGACCAACCAGGTCTGAACTAGCTAAGCGGCTCACAGAACGCCGCCTGTTTTTCCAACCGTGGCGACTTCAGTTTGCGTGTGTTTTCTCAAGGATTTGTGTCTGGGTCCTTTTTTTTGACTCTGTTAAATCCCGCGACAAACTATATACTTTTTTTTTTAAAAAAAAAATCTTTGCGTCAGACTTTCAAATCTTTGTTTCCCATGCGTTTCAGGACTTGAAGAAGTGAAGAGCGTAGCCTTAAGAGCGTGTTGGAAGCTACTTGAAGAAGTGAAGAGGGTAGCATCAAGAGCATGTTTGAAGCAGTGTGAACAAGACCTTATTACCCACCCCGCCCTACCCCACCCCACAAGAACTGAAGAGCGTAGCAGCAAGAGCGTGCTTGAAGCAGTGTGAGCAAGATATTATTACCCACCCCACCCCACCCCACAGGCACGAAAACACACGAAAGCTGGCGGCGTCCTACAAGCCGCCAGCCACCAACCAGGTCTGAACCTGCACACCGGCTCACCACCAATGGTGAGATCATAGTCATCCTTGCCAAGCATTTTTTGGCTAAGCCAAGCTTCTGGTGTATCCTTTTTGGACAAAGGATTGACTGGTGTTGTTCTTCCGGACTTGCTTCAGTCATGCTTTTTGGATAGCAGAGATGCTTGTCTCTCAGTGATGTCTCACATTGCTCCTGGCACTAACCAGCAGAATTGGCATGACCAACTTCGTTTGGCCTTGGGGAGTTGGGATCAACTGGGTTCTGTTGATGTGGGGTGCCGGTGCCGGAACTGCATGTGGCTGGTTCGTTTGCTTGCCAAATTCTTCCTGCTTTTGCCAGGAAGTTCAACTTTGCACTGCGGAGGTCTATTCCCACTTGTCGTCGCCTTTTTTGGTGGTGGGTTGGGAGGATTTAAGACTGCCAGGAAATAGTTTCTTCTTTTGGCAATGTCCATCTTCCAGGATTGGTGTATTGGTTTGAAGAAGTCCTTGGGGTGGTGGACTCCGTGGCTCCTTGGATTTGGTGAAAGGCCCTTTTGTTTTGGCTAGCCTTATCACCTTGGCTTTGCTGCTGGTGCCTGGTGTGCTTGTGCCACAGCAGCCTGTGCCGGGGGTGGCCAGCTTTGCGCTGTCTGCCGGTGTGACATGACCTCACCGCGGTGTAGGCACCATCTGTCTTGTGATTTTTCGATCTTTTTTGCTGGTGTGAAAGTTGCTTCGCCGGGTGTGGATGGTATCGTTTTTCCAGCCCCTGCAGGCCAGCTGCGGTGCTTCTCGTAGCTAAGTGCTTGGAGGATCACTGGCTGCAGGCGGGAAGACACAAGTGTAGTGAGGGTAGTACGACCCCCACATTTGCTTGTAGCTCTGGTTTATCTTTGGCCTGGTCGTTGTGGAAGGAAAGGGCCCAGACTCCACTATGCCAAAGTTTCCGGGCGGTCTCCGTGTTGCTGCTGTCGTCTTTTGTAAGCTCGCCAGACCCAAACTGGGGTGACTGTGCGAGTGGCTGTGCTGAGGTAATGATGTGCTCATCATTGGCGTAGGAAGTTTTCTTGCCGGCTTGTTGAAAAATTCTTCGAAGTTCCGTGGTGCTGTTTAGCCAGCTCGTTGGCAATTATTGCTGTTCCATGGTGTCTTACACCATGCTGCTTTATAAAGGGCCTTGTATTTGTGAATGTGTTTGGTTGCCCCAAGCCGCAGTTGCAAAGTGGCTTTTGTGATGTCTGCTTCGGTTTGCTCTTTTCCCAAATAGTGATTCTCAGCTTTGGTCCAAATATCCAGGCACGAAAAAGCAATCGCCGTTTCGGCCCATATCTTCCACCCAGCCACAGCGCGGTGAAATGTGTAGGGTGGTTTTTTGGCGTCTGGGCCAAGGCCCGCCCGGTCCCAGCACAGGGGGCTTCCCTTCTCTTGTAGTACTGACTAGGGCCGTCAAGTTTTGTCGGTGCAACTTCGGCGTTTCCCTCTGTGCTGCCGCTGCTCGTGGTTGGTTGCGCTGTTTCCTTGTCGGCTGCTGAATTGAATTTCTTCTTCGCGCTCTTTTGTTGTACTGCTGCGTTGGCCCCACGTTTGACGAGGTCCATGCACTGCTGGTTCCGTGCAAATCAGGCGGCGGCGTGGGGCCGTCGCTGGGTGGATGGGGATGGCCTTGCTGCCGTCTTCATAAATATGGCTAACCGCGCTGTTCCTAAGAGTCGATTCCTTGAAAGCTCCATTTGTATCGGAGGCCTTTGCGTCTCAAATGGGCCTTGTGGATCTGCCAGTTGTTGGTGGTCAACTGGCTTTCTTTCTAGACAGGGATGGGGTTGCCAAACGTCGTGATGATATTGGTGCAACACTGCGTCAGCAGGAAAACTTGCCCACCCGATTGCCAAGCACAGTCAACATATTTTTCAGACATCATTTGAAAGGACTTCCGCTGCTCCAGCATTTTCTTTGGCGATTCACAAAGCAGCATGGCATGATCATGTGCTGCCTGCATCTGATCACTCTCAACTGGAAGCGTCTCAATCTGCTTGGTTTGTTGTTTTTGTTTTCCTTCTGAGTTGCGGGCCTGTAAACCTACGCCGTTGTACCAAGCCATCAACATTGGACTTAGTGAATTTTGCCGCTAAACCTTGAAAACCAAAACTAGCGCCCACTCCTGCCGAGATGCACCCGTAGGTCCACCAGGAGGGAGCACCATACAACCTCATCATCATCATCATCATCATCATCAAACCATACGTATATAATATCCTTTGGAAGTTGGAAGGAACCCTTCGCACCTGTGACTTTTCCTTGGAAGGAACCATTGATTATTTATTATGCCCTGCCTTCCTTTCGGGCGACATTGTCGTTTAGTTGGGCTAGGCTTAAATCCAGGTGGAAAGTTATGGGTGGCAACACACAAGCCTGCAAATCGAAGCCAAGAATCGGCAACAATCAAATTTAGCACTCCAAAAACAAGGGTAAGCAGGGAACCCATAAAGACAATAGCTGTCATAGGGTAGCGCTCAATGACTGGCACGGCAATCTCGCCCCAGCTATCTCCAGCAATTACTGTCTTGAATAAAAGCAAATTAGCGCTCATGACGGACGATGTTGCCCTCGTGCATTGCGGACAGCCTTCGAATGTGCCATGTTTGTCATTGAGCTCTTGAATCAGCGGATGAACGAATTCAACCATGAGCATCGCCCACACCGTCATTATGACGAAGCAGAAGATAAAGGACCACACCAATGCCTGCAAGGCAAAGTATTTTCTACTACAATTCCCGGCATGGCTAACCAGCGCTATATCATGCTATATCTCAAACCTCCGTATCATTCCGTGTCCATGTTTATTGTGCATGAACGCACACCAACACAGCAGCCACCTCAGCCAGCAAGGGTTCGTAGTTTGTGTAGATGACTGTAAATAAAAATGTTTACTGTTTAAATATCCACCTCAGGCTTGACGGCGCAGCTCTGTGCAGTTATATAGTTTCAACAGGTTTTGACATTGGGAGTTGTATCAGCTCCTGTATATATAACCTCATCCCCTCCATCCGGGTGTGTCTGAAAAAGTCTGAAAATAGGGTACCCCATGGTACCCCAATTCCACCCCATGGTTTAAAACAGTTCCCCCTCGGAAGCAAATGCAAAAAAACGCTGCACATGCGGTGACTAAAAGTGGTTATAGTGTAGCCCGTTGACCACTCTGGCGTCAATGATGTTCAGTGATGTTCAAAAGTTGCTCAAAAGTTGTTCAAATGTTCATCGCCTTCAAGCACGTCGCCATCATGCTAACCAGCTTTGAGAGCTCACGCAAAGCTTTGGTTCGTTGCAGCAGCCGTGTGATTCGGAAAATGCGCACCAGGCGCAAGACGCGCACCAGCGACGTGATGGCGTTGTCTTGTTGGACCCAAAATAAACTCAGAGCCTTCTCAGCCAGGCCACATCCTCGGCGAGTCAATGATTCGTTGGAAATATCTGGAAATGGTGTGAATCCAAGGGTTCCAAACATGGCTGGACAGCCCCAAGGAAAAAACAATAACATGCAATAACTTCATCCGATGCTACGCACTCTTCTGACGGTCCGTCTGAAAAATAATTTCCTCAAATTCTGGTTGTTTGCAAAATGTCTGTTATTGTTCCGATGGGTTTTAAAACATGGCCTCCACAAAAACATTACAAAACACAGAAAACATGAGAGAACACCAGGCCATATCTTGCCGGATCTGGGCCGCATGATCAGCAAAAACTGCCCTCAGTACATGACCGTAAGATCTTCAAACACTTGGGCCCTATGTCTCACGCTTGCGAAAGAGCAACGCCGACGAATTTAGGAATGTGCGTTCTTCAGTAATCAAACATGGCAGGCTGAGCAATTGCCTATGAACAAAAGTTTCAAGAGGAAATTCATGTCTATAAATTGGTGATTGTCCGGAAAAAAACTATGTGCCACTTGACATGAAGGATCCAATGATGAGAATATCCACCTGAGTGGCAACCTCTTTGAGTGTCTGCCACCCACGTAGCGACAGCATCACCTGAGCAAAAAGAAGGTGGATGCAACGATGCCATAAGTTTTTTAATCGCACGCTCTGGTAACGCAACATAGCTAAAGAAATCAACGTCATTAATAAGTAAATCATCAAGCTCGGGCCATTCTTCATGGCTATGTTGAATTACCAAAGGGCAATCAAATAATCTGGTGGTCATCAATTGCCACGATACATTGATGGTAGTATCTGGTAATTCCGATAAATAAGAAATCACCTGACTGATATTACAAGCAAAAAATAGGATATCAAACCCAACAATCGTCTCTAGATTTTACCAAAGCTGCATGCCGCCCACCTTCCTCCCCCACCTCCCGGCACTGCCGAGATAGAATGTCAAATAGCATGTGAGAAGGGTGCCAGATAGAATTTCAAAAAGAATGTGAGATAGAATGTCAAAATACATGTCAGATAGAATGCCAAAGAAAATGTAAAGTAGAATGTGAGAAAGAATGCCGGATAGAATGTCAAATAGAATGTGAGATAGAATGCCACATAGAATGCCAATGCCAGATAAAATGTCAGAGTGTGTGCCAGATAGAATATGTCAAATAGAATGTGAGAAAGGATGCCAGATAAAATGTCACATAGAATGTGAGATAGAATGCCAAATAGAATGCGAAATAGAATGTGAGATAGGATTCCAGATAGAATGCCAGACAAAATGTCAGAGTATATGCCAGATAGAATGCCTGAATATATGTCAGATAGAATGCCAGATAGAATGTCAAAAAGAATGTGGGATAGAATGCCAGATAGGGCGGTGTCAGAGTCAGTCACCCGAGTCAGCCGCCCCAAATGTCGGAATCGAGAACCCCATAAGATCCTATAAGACAAAGTCAGTCACCACTGAACACCAGCAGAGGACAAGCCAACAGCCGCGGCGACCACGGCGTCAAACGGGAACCAAGCGCGCCACCAGAGCCAGCCCAGCGCCGTAAGTGCCACGCCTGCCATGCAAAGTGGAGGTTGATGTCGCCAAGCGCCACGCCTGCCACGCAAAGTGAAGGTCGATGTCACCAAGTGCCACGCCTGCCACGCCAACAGCCGCGGCGTCCACGGCGTCAAACGGGAACCAAGCGCGCCACCAGAGCCAACCGTGCCATAAGTGCCACGCCTGCCACGCAAAGTGGAGGTCGATGTCGCCAAGTGCCACGCCTGCCACGTTGTGTGTGAGCAAGTTGGGCGTGAGTAAGTAGTGTGTGAGTAAGTTGTGTGTGAACAAGCTGTGTGTGAGCAAGTTGGGTGTGAACAAGTTGCGTGTGAGTAAGTTGTGTGTGAACAAGCCGTGTGTGATCAAGTTGTGTGTGAGCAAGTTGTGTGTGAGAAAGTTGGATGTGAGCAAGTTGTGTGTGTGAGGAGGCGGGAGGCGGCGGGAGGAGGAGGCAGGCGGGAGTGCACAACTGAAACAAAGAACCCCACACAAAGATGTGGGGAACAAACAAACAAACAAACAAACACACACACACAAACAAACAAACAAACAAACAAACAAACAAAACAAACAAACAAACAAACAAACACACAAACACACAAACACACACACACAAACAAACAAACAAACAAAACAAAACAAAACAAAACAAAACAAAACAAACAATCAAACAAACAAACAAACAATCAAACAATCAAACAACAAACAACAAACAACAAACAACAAACAGCAACAACAAACCACCACCACCACCAACAACAACAACAACAACACCACAAAGACTTCCGCTGTGCAAATGATAAGGCACGATCATTTCCAAGCAGTACAAGGCAAGACAGGTATCTGTCAATATCCATATTGCATCAGGCGGTTGCCCGCCGCCAGCTCTGGCATCAATATCTCTGCAGGTGCAAAAAGAGTCGACCAACACCACTAGCACCATGAAATTGGAGATACTCGCACCTCGGTGACGCTGCGGTAGCCTCTTTTGCGCTACAAACAACGGCTACCTTGAAACTAGTTCGTCTGCTCTGGGCTTTGGAAGGTATGGGCAGAAGCAAGCCTAAACCATCAGAAAGGCGTGCGGGCTAACTTAATCAAACCGAAGATTGCTCAATTATTCACTGCATGCTCCTTGGCCTTATGGTCTTGATGTACTACTAGGCCCTAACAGGTGAATTCTCATCTTGCGTCATCTTGCTTCCTTGATATACGCAACTTTCAGTGTGATTGAGACTCCGTTTTGGCCTTTGTCGGCTCCAAGGAAACCTAAGAGAAAAAACCATCCTACGATGAAAATTAAAACGCACTGATCCTGGAACACAGCCGCCTCTCTTCGCCCGCCGAGCTAGTGCCTTTGGGTCTGCTGTCCTCAGTGATCAACATACTGGAGCGACCTGGAGCGTAAATTCGAACATAGCATCGACAACTTCAGCTGAAAGAACACATTCAGAAGGCAACAACAGAAACTCTCTGTTTTTCGCCCCTTTTTAAAAGCCTTTTTCTCCAAGATTCTTCTCGATCACGGGTGTGTCTATTTCAGCTGCTTTGATGAAGTTGCTGCCAACGCCGCCTTGGATACTGCGCTTGGTGTAGCTGCAGTTTTCCATAGTCTCTAGACCAACATCCGAAAACTAAGCCCCAACAAGAAACCACCGGCCCAACCCCCACCGTCCATGTCCCATGTGTCCCAAGATGTCCCAAGGCATCTCAGTGCTGTCGGTAGCACCTTTCTGCTTTGCCTTCTCCGATCGTGGCGAATCACCAGAGCGAATCGAAAAAGCTGGCGATGCTGGCGATCTTTGTGTGTTGTTTCCAAGAGCTGACAATCCACTTCGTACCCTGGCACGGCACGGGCAGAACATGCGACAGTAGAATGACAACACCCAACAGGCATCAAAACATGTGGCAATATTCAGCTGCAAGGCTTCCATGAATCCAAAGTTGTGACTTATGACTCAAGCATCCTGGCATATTCCAGCACCCTCAAACTGGACAGTGGCTGATTTGCATGATGCATGTCTGACAAAGTTCAGGGGCAACGTACTAAGACTTATTATCATAAAGTCGCCTAAACATCCTTAAAACCAAAATCAAACGGCTGACATTCGGGATGTCATGACGTCAATGAATGTCTTTCGCAAATCTACCGTGACGCTTCGTGACGCATTGCCTCATTGGTTGACTGGCAGGGCTATCGGTGGCAGTTCGATCCTCCGAAAGCCCGTCCAACGAAAGCGGCAAGTGGTCGGAGTGCATCGACTGCATCGACTGCATGTGGCTAACCATTGGGCCAAGCCCTCGCCACGGCTGTGCAAAGTGGTGCTATGGCTACGCGGATCTACGTGGCTATGGCTTGAGGGTGAAATGCTGCATCCTGGAGAAATACAAAATTATGACCGACCACATCCTGAAACTATCGACGATAGTTCCCCTGATGGTGCTGGTTCTTACGGTTCTTGTGGGTAGAGGCAACAAAACTGTGGCTGCGCAAGCATGCGAAGTCAACAAGCACAGGCCGCATGTCGATGTCAATATGGTGTTGGTGAAATCCTGTACCCCTGGTAAACATCACAGTATATCACAATAGCCGGCCAATGATGTTCCTCCTAACAATGCTATTTGTATTTACAAAATTTACAATGTATTTATATACAGCTATTGATCCATAGCTGCCTCATTGTGATACGATATTGTAATGTTATACGCTGAGATACGCTGAGTCTTGGCAGCTCCTGGGATTCTGTGGCAACTGTGCCGCGTGAGGGTCTCTTTTCTGGGCACTATAGAGTTGCCGCTTAGAGAGGAAGAAAATCTCCAAGTTCCTCGGAGAATGGTGGAGCATGGTGGAGCTTCACCCATCAAAACATATCCAAACACTCTTCGAGCTTTGGACGAGAAGTCGCACCGAACGTTTGCAGTGCAAAAGCTGGTGAATTATGGTGAATTTAGTAAATCACTTCATACATGTTCATACCTACATCAGTTTTACAGTTATACCAGTACCAGTTGTTTTTCCCTTCATGGTAGAGATTTTTTGATATTTTTTGCCATGGCCGAACTGGTACAGCATTGACCCACCAGCTGCACGGATAAAGCGCCCAGTGCCTGGCCCAGGGCATCCCAGGGCCATCTTGCTCCTGTTGGAGCTGTGTTGGTCGAAAGGAAGCCGCAGCAGTTGTGTGTTTCTGGCCAATTCGATTGGTTCAACGGATGGCTTCAACGGAAATCCGAAGGAAACCCTGGCTTTGACCCTCAACCATGATATAAAAGTGTGTTTCCTGCAGGTTTCCGCTTAAACCAATGAGAAATAATGATTAATGCAAGCATCTTGACGAGTATGCCGTGCTCTGCCGAGCTGCCACTCAAAAAGGCGCCACGCGAGTTCAGCGTTGCTGCCAGTGCTGCTGATGAGACAAGCTCACGACTGTCACAGACTTGACTGCAGCAAACTGCAGCCGTGTAGCCGAAGCAAAGCACGATGTAATCACTGCATCTGCGGCTGGTGAAACTGTGTGGCCTCCGGCCGATTCTGCGCTATCTCACTAAACAATGAGCATCATAGGCTGAAGGCTACCTGGAGATCCTGGAGATCTTCAAAAAAATGTGCATGGAGGTCCCAAGCAAGGAACGCTGAAAACAAGGTTCAGTATGCTAACTATGCAGTGATCTGCAGTGATCTGCGGTGATCTGCAGTGATATGCAGTGTGATGTGTGAATGTCACGTATCGTAATGGTGACTGCAATGTGAAAGAGGAATGACAACATAGCTCGACTCAATGGAGTGAAATTCAATCGTGCCGTGGCCTCAAAGAATTCCAGGAACCATCGATGCCTTTCTAGGGAAATAGAGGGACCGGCATGGGATGCGACTTACCATCATTTACCTATCTTTGTTCAATGCTACTCCTCTATTGATCATGCACCTGGTGGAAAAAGGATGTTTATGGCAACCATGCTCTGCAAACATGCCAATGCCAAGAATGTTTTTATCTGCATCCTGTGCATGCCTGCACGCTTGGACACTGTCATACTGTGTCATGCTGAACAGCCCAACCACTTCCAATATCACAATTCCATGATGCTGGCGCAACTGGTGCAACATGCTGAAACATGGTGCAACATGGTACCTGGCCTTAGCCTACGTCCGCAAAGTCTTTTTGGCTGTCACCCAAACTCCGAGGGAGCGAATCTTTTTGAGAATCTTTTCGAAATGCCGACCTGCATCGGAAGCGCCCAAGAGTCAGTGTACGCACGCCCGCCAGAAACACCAACGCGCAAATGACAATTAATGCTCAATGCAGAAAGGATCAGAAAGGTGCAGGTGGGATTTTACTATCTGGGTTATAGTTGCCAAGCGTGCCGGCAACACAAAGGGCTACATGTTAAAATGTTATCTCTTCCTTTTTCCGTAGCTAGACATAGCTGGCCGAAACGATGCTAGCTGGCGCAAAAAAGTAGTCGATTCCTTGTCTTTTACTTTCAGCTGCCATTGGCATGGAGAGTGAGTGCAGTTGCTCATGGAAACTGCCCTCTCGCCGAGCATATATATAATTACTGTATATAATGAGATGTGAGAGAGGTTCAGATCTTGCGTAGCTTACCATTTTTTGCAACGCTATCAGAACAGGTAGAGAACACTTTTCTGGGGTGGCATTTTCCAGGTGTTTCACCCAAGAGAATGGCAAGAGCAAACATCAACAAACCATCCCGGGCCCACCCTTGGTAATCAACATGGCAATTGAAAATCCCAAATGATGTTTTAATGGAAACCGCATCTATAAATTGAGCATTTTCCGGCAAAACATGTTCGGTTACCAGAATTTCCAGATACACGACCAAAGGCGCCTTTGCGCAAGTTGCAAGCTGGCAGTGCCTGGTGGGCTGAAGCCTCCTATGAGCGGCCTGCCCGACCTGATGTGGTGTCGGCGTTTGAAAATATGTTCATCTTTTTCTTGTGGATCATCTTTGAGTTTGGTCATTCCCAATGATTCCCATATTTACAGTAGAATATCATAAAAGGATTTAACATGATCATTTGGAGGGTACGTACCCCTTTTTCAGAGATGCATGTCTGCAATCCCAACTCAAAATGCCGCACAAGCTTCCCAGGTCCAGTGACAGGAGAAGCACTGTTCTGGGAACGCCTGAAACTCAGGGGATTGGTTTCCCAATCTATGCGGCTTCCGAGGAAACAAAAACTAAGGCACTGCGGCACCGCCGAATTATCGCAAAATTTCATAAACACCGTGCAGTGCGGAAATACAATGGTCGAAACATGTGGAAACCCTGCGAAGCTGGAATGAACATGAACGAACCCTAGGCCCTAGTCGTGCACAAACTAATTATATAGTGTATTTTGGAATATTTTGGACGATCCTGGCAGCCAATGTGACACTCTTGATTGGCTGGCTTGTTGCTGCTTGGTTGCTGTTTTTTATTTTGGGGCCGGCACGTGGCATCTTAGGTCTGTTGACTTCAATTCAAGCACTCGAGCTGAGTTTTTTTTTTCAGACGCGTGTGGCACCAAAAACACGTCCTCGCAGGGACCCAGTTGAGCAGCACTATGCTCCAGTCGTTCCTTTCTATTTTTTCGGTTCCTGCCACTGAGTTGTCTCAAAATAAATCAATGTTTATGCATGCAAGTTTGTGAGAACTCAAGAGTGGACAGGGAGAGTGTGGAGAATACATGAGCCATAGCGCTAAAATAAAATGGGCACCATTGAAGATAATTTCAAGGATGAGGTGCCAAAACAGCTGGCGTGGACATACGTGCCACACAACTTTTCGTCACCGATTCTGTTTGAACGAGCAAAGGAATGCCAAAGGATCGAGTTTCACTTTGAACAACAAGGTGGCTTGGTGAGTTGTTTCTTGCGAAGTGCTGGAGGTGCGGCCGAGCTGTGCAACTTAACAGAGTGCAGGAGGAAGTAGGTGAAATGTGTACATCTGTGAATCTACGGACAGAGAGAGAGAGAGAGAACCGCAAAAATATGGCGGCATAATCCACAACATATATATATATATTGTGTTTCCTAAATACTGTAACAGTCAGCAGAAGGGTTCCTTACTAAACACACCCCCAAAAAGGAGCACCACAAAATCAAGTTATTTTTCTTCAAGGATTGTTGGGCCTGGGGACATGTTCAATGTTTTTGCTTAAGGATTATTTCAGAGTGGGACCATGGTTCAAAAATTGGGAAACAAAACCTGTCCATTCTGCTCAAGACATGTGGTGGCTTGCGCACATCAGATTAGAAGAAAGAGGACATGGGAATCACTTCTCAAAACCATCTGGGGTTGGGAATCACAACCATATCAAGTATCAAACATGAATCATACACTATCCAAACTTCCCATCAAACTTTATCTCCTAGTTTGCCAGGTTTGCTGCTGTGATGGAGCTAGAATTATATTGTTGTTTCTTTTCGCGGTTTGTCGTGCACCAAATCGTGCTCCAATGCGTGTTTTTTTTTTTGCGGTTTGTCGGGCACCAAATCGTGTTCTACTTTGTGGTTCCTGGCCTGGTGTGTCTTTTGGGAATTGTTGCTGGCGGGATCCTATGCAATGTTTACAATCATCAATCTTTCTTCCGGGTATTGACTCTTGGTAGTGGGACTGACAGAACTTGAGGATTGCTACTTGTATTTTGAATTGATTTCTTCGTGCGCCAAAATCACCAAATGGTGCTAAAAAAACATGCTTTTATCCTAATATATTATCATACATATATATATATATCCATATATAAGTTTTAAAATAAATATCCTAATATAAGTCTAAATAGAAGAAACACCAAAGATACAACCATTTAGGGCATATTTCCGAAAATTGTTTTCTCTGACGTACACCAAATCGTGCTCCAAATGCGTACTTTTTTTCGCGGTTTGTCGTGCACCATATCGTGCTCCAATGCGTATGTTTTTTTTTTTTCTGGTTTGTCGTGCACCAAATCGTGCTCCAATGCGTGTTTTCTTTCCGGTTTGTCTTGCACCAAATCGTGCTCCAATGCGTTTTTTTTTTTTTCTGGTTTGTCGTGCACCAAATCCTGCTCCAATGCGTGTTTTTTTTTTCTGGTTTGTCGTGCACCAAATCGTGCTCCAATGCGTGTTTTTTTTGGCGGTTTGTCGTGCACCAAATCGTGCTCCAATGCGTGCTTTTTTTGTTGCAGTTTGTCGTGCACCAAATCGTGCTCCAATGCGTGTTTTTTTTGTTGCAGTTTGTCGTGCACCAAATTGTGCTGTATGGTCTCAGTTATGTTGAAAATCCGTACGCTTGTTATTATTTTATTCGTTCATATTCATGCTCTGAAAATGAGGAGAAGAAAAAAGTGCGGTAAAACCAAAAACTGGCGGTTTTGTATTGTCTTCCTCTTCGGAGCTTGGGCCAGGATCTGGCCGGAGCCAGGCCACCCTCCAAAACCTATAGAAGAGTATTGAAAAAATGAATACTAAATATATCTAGTTAAATATATTGAATATTGAATACCAATAAATACTATATATATAATTCTAGATCCAACCACAAAGCATATTATAAAACTACTAGATAATACATCTAAAATCATCTAAATACATCTAACAAATCATCATGCTGCGCAGAAGAGCGCAGCGGCGCAGCTGTCGCTTTCTCTGTCAGTTGAGGCTCTAGGGTTACCATGGGTGTGGGCAAAATATGGCAAAATAGCTTGGTGTCACCATGCTGAAAAAAAATGCTCCATCCCCAAAAATCAAAAAAATGCCGTCAAAAAGATCAAGCCTTCTGAGACTTTTTGGGCCCCATGGCCTCATAGGTCGGAGCCACGGCGGCAAGGGGTGATCTGAACTGCTCGTAAAGGTCGTACTGTTCCGGCGGTACGAGTATCTTGATTCTTGCGCGGCCTCCGGGCACTGGCTGATGTTTTACGACCTAAAAAAGTCTGGAAATGGGTGGAAACTGGCACTGCAATTTGGGTATGTTTTTTCATGAATTGATTTGGGTATTTAGATGAAGTGAACATCAAATAATATCAAGTATGGAGGTTTGCCGTCTAGATTTTAAGGCAAAGCCGCATATATCCCATTGAGGTGGGGATGTGCAAATAAATTTCTCGTGGATTCCTCCGAAGCCGAACACTGAGAGTGTCAAAACGCAGTGCCTGAGAGTTTCGCTTGGAAGACAACTGTGATGTAAAATCGGGTTCTTTGCCTCTTCTGGCACTGAGCAAACTTGTCTCATCAGTCCCCCTTCTTTGTAGACCATGTGGATAAGGCCGTGGGTATGGATGTGGGTGGAGAAGAAAAGGCGGATGGTGCAGCCCTTCGAACATTTGAAGCAAAGTCGTCATGTTGTCTTTGTCATCACCACCTCGAGGTCTGTCCTGGAAGAAGTGAAATATGGTGAAATGGTCCCTGCAAATGATCGAAATGACACACCTTAAAAGGTTGCACCCTGCAGTGCTTCAGCAGCAGGAAATCAAATGGTTGGAGACTTTCAACATGCTGTGATTTACACCAGCGCTTAACATTCGAGAGGGTTCCTGTACTTCCTTGAGAACTATTTTATGTTCGCAGGTAAAACATCTACTGGTCATTTTCAATTGCTAACTGTGGTGGGCAATCATTTTCCCCAATATGTGATGCATAGGATGCATGGGGGAATAGGGTTCACAAAAGGCTCCAGTATTAAGGACGTCTGCTTGGGATGAGGACACAGCAAGCCACCGCCCCTTCCATTGCGGACTCAGGGGAGCCCGGAAGTCTTGGATGGCTTTAGATATGTTGAGATGTTGAGATCATATATTAGAGCCATACCAAAATCTTGAAGAATGTTCGAGCTCTAAGATCTCTAAGTTTCTACCTGTAAATCTTGCAGCTTTCAGCTTCAGCTGCTCCTGTAGAGCCTTTTCCACCGCACCCAGGGAGGCCTTTACGGCAGAGCGTGTTGCGTCAACCACAAGCGCCTCCACCTTTTGCATGGCCACCTTGAGAGATTTGTCCTGCGGCAGCCATTCCAAAGATACAGGTTTGTCTGAAAATCTGGCGCCCCGGAACCCATCAGTCAATCACCACCCTCATTTTCCTATATTAATATATGTATATATATATATGCATGTTTCCCTATTGACTCTGTGCGGTCCGAAGCAAGCAAGTATACATATATATATATATACATGTTTCCCTATTGAAATTGCCATATGAATCCACATGAAGATTCTTCCACATGTGGCCTTCATGGAGAGTGTGCAAACGACTGAAACGGGTCCTCTTCTGCCTTCAGCTCTAATGCCTCAATCTTGGGAAATGACATTTGAGTGGAGCTGTGTGGCTGCTCCACTCCCTCGGTTTCCTCCTGCTTCGATGTCGACTGATCCATCTGATCCTCCCTTTCCTCTGTCAAGGCCTCGTCGGAAAACTCCTGGCAGCGACTTCAGGACATTTTAGGGCTACCATGGGCTACCAGCATCCATCTGGATTCAACATGGATTGTATAAACTTGTATACTGTATACATCTGCAGTACATCTGTATACCGATTTGTCATGTCTGGATTCCCTTCCGACTTTGGTAACTTCGAGCCAGCTTCGACATCCGACATATCCTGGCACTCTCTCTCTCTCTCTCTCTCTCTCCCTCCGTCCATCACCCTCTCCGAGAGTTCAGTCACAGACTGAAGGCGAGGGATATCTGGCACTGATTCTAGTTATTTTTTCCTCCATTGCAAAGGCCACTTTCCAACAATTCCCAGGAACCCAGCAAGGGGACCCTTAAACTTTAAACATCCTTCAGCCACGGTGAACGACGGTGACCCACTCCCATCCAACAGAATGGTTGACTGAAGATGCGAAGTCCTTGCTTGTAGGTATTCGGTTTGGGCCAAATCTCATCCCACTGGGGCCCAGGTTCCAACTTCTCCTTGCTTCTTGACATGGGGAAGCCGAAGCAGGCCACAGATTGCCATTCCATCAAAATAGAACACAGGAAACCAGCCCAATCTCTCTCTGTGGAATATGAAAAAATACCAAATACATCCAAATACTGCTTGGACATCCTTGTGATTCCTTGTGTTATACTGAGAAACATGATCAACACTTTGACTCATAAGATTTGCCAAGTCTCTGCGGACTACTCGGACCACGTGGGCTTTGAGAACCCTGTGATCCAAGTGTCGTGTGGCGTGGACTCAGCCTTGCATAGGGGCTTGTCTGCCGTGAAAAGGGGCTCGCTTGCCTTGTAGGGGTCCACCTTGATCCTCCCACCCCAAAAGAGCTCGTATAGGCCTCACGGGGTTTGGCTCCATCCCATCTGATTTACAAAAATGTTTATGTTGGAAGAAGTCGAATCCCAAGCAATGAGTTCATGAGCATCTCAACATGTACTTTTTCAGCTGTCACACTGCTCACAACTCTTCGAGATTCAACTGGTAGCAAATATAATGCATATGATCCCTTCTCCCTATTACTAAATCTCCCAAAGAATAAAAACTACCCCAGAGTATTTGTTTTGGGAAATTTCAAATTGGTCAATTTGACCTTTAATGGATCCCCTTCAGAAAACAAAAAAAATATCCCGGCAAGAGACCCCAAACAGTGTGGGCGGGGGGTGGGAGGATAATGTAAGATAATGATGATGATGATGATGATGATGATGGTGATGATGATGATGATGATGATGGTGATAATGGTGGTGATGATGATGATGATGATGGTGATGATGATGATGAAGATGAAGATGAAGATGAAGATGAAGATGAAAATGAAGATGATAATGGTAATGATAATGATAATGATAATGATGATGATGGTGATGATGATGAAGATGAAGATGAAGATGATAATGATAATGATAATGATGATAATGATGATAATGATGATGATGATGGTGATGATGATGATGATGGTGATGATGGTGATGATGATGATGATGATGGTGATGAAGCCGCGACCCAGAAGCTAGGACCACACTTCGTGCGAGCCTGCGCAGTCGAAATGCATGTCAGCATGTCAGAAGAGCCACTTCATGCGGAAATTTACAGGAAAAATGTCGCGCCCCAAAACCGCGGCGCAGACTTTGTGCGAGCCTGCGCAGTTGAAACGCATGTCAACATTTCACAAGAGCCAATTTGTACGGAAATTTACAGGAAAAAGGCGCGAGAGCAGAGTGAGCACCCTGATCAAGCACCGGCCTTTACAGCTACCGTAAGGACCCCGCAGTGTGGACACACTGTTTGGGGAATCAAGGTCCATTTGAAGTTTCTACCCCCTTGGTAATAAAGATATATAAAAAATAGTTAACCCCGGGGTGTTTTTAATTAGGGTCGGTTGGTTAAAATCGAAAATTTCATCTTTTTTAATAAAGGTTTTTTATTTGATATTAGGGGAAAGCTTCCAAATCCAATTTTTGGCAATATTTTAATTGGATTTTAAGAGGGAATTTAGATGATTTTGAAATCAACAAAATCATTTTTTTAATTAACGTTTTTAATTTAATATTAGGAGCCAGCTTCCCACCCCGAATGTTAATTAATTCACCCTAATTAATAATGAAAACCACTTCTAGGTTGTATTATTCTTTTTGGGGGGACGTTTAATATTAGGGTGAAGGGATTAAAAGGGTGAAAAACAGTTTTAGGAGCTTCTTTTTGGTCAGGTTTGTTTTTGTTTGTTGATTTCTTGCCTGGTACCGTTTGCCTTGTATTGGCAAATATTGGCAACAGTTTGGAACTAGAACCTGGCATGTTCACCTTCCATTTTTGCATGGGCCTCATTTGGAGCTGCTTTAGGTTTCATTTAGGTTTCCTTCAAACTTCCTTTAGGAATTTATTTAGGGTTTCATTTAACGCTTCTTCAGGGTTTACATTGGGGTTTCTTTCAGGTTTCATTTAAGCGTTTAGTTTATTTTAGGCTTTCTTTGGGGTTTCATGAAGGGTTTTATTTAGGGTTTCTGTGCGGTTTCTTTAGAGTTTCATTAAGGTTTCATTTGACGTCTCTTTAGTAAGGTTTCTTTGGGGGTTCATGGAAGTTTTTTTTTTGGTTTCATTTAGGCTTTCACTTACGTTTCATTTACATAGGGTCGTGTAGGGTTGCATTTAGAGTTTCTTTAGAATTTCATTTGGGGTGTTCTGTAAGGTTTCATTTTAAGGTTTCATTTAGGGCGTCTTTCTGGTTTCATTTAAAGTTTCTTTACTGTTTCATTTAGGAGTTCAGGGTTTCTTTAGGGTTTTAATTTCATTTAAGGTTTAATTTAAGGTTTTTTTTAGCGATTCCTTGAGGTTTCTTCCAGGGTTTCTTTACGGTTTCTTCAGTGTTTCTTTCAGGTTTGTTGAGGCTTCTTTAGGGGTTCTTTAGGAACTCCTTCGCGGTTTCTTTAAGCTTTCAGTTAAGGTGTCATTTAAGGTTTCTGTGTGGCTTCTTTATTTTTTTTTGGGGTTCATTTAGCGTTTCATTTACAATGACGGACCAGCACTTAGAATATAAAACCTTAAGATTTGCTTAGCTGAGCTAAGCCGCTCTTCGGGGAATAGGGTTTTCAGAGCTAGGCCGAGAACCTTGGTCTTAGAATATGGGCCCATGCACTTAGAATATGGGCCCATGCACTTAGAATATGGCCACTTAGAATATGCACAAGAAGTTTCTGGTTGTACAGGCAGCCGTACTGCATACCGTAGCATGGTTAGGGGTGAGAAAAAAGTGAGAGCAAACTATTGGCTGGAAGGATGTGACATTCAATCTCATGGTTTTTTATGTGTTGCATTATTTTTTGGTCGTTATACTGTACTGGCTGCAGGCAGTGCAGTACTGTACTGCAAACACATGCAACATTGCACATATATCATATGTCCATATTCTATCTGCATATGTTGTTTGCATATTCTATCTGCTGTTTGGGGTCTTAGCTACCTTAGCTTTTTTTCATATTCTACCTGTGAGCTAAAAAAAATCATATTCTATCTCCTGGTCTGCTTGAATATATATATATATATAATACAAGTATCATTTAATGTTTCTTTAGGATTTAATTTAGAATTTCCTTTTAAAGGTCTGTTTGGGGTTTCATAAAAAAGGGCGTTTTAGGTTTCATTTGGGGTTTCGTTTAAGGTTTTGATTTAGGGTCTCTTTAGGGTTCGCCTTGAAAATAAAGGAAGCAAAGAACCCAAATGTCCCAAAAGAACGTCCAAAAGAATATGAATTAGAAGCGCGAAAGCAAAGAAGTATACAAACAGGAGAGAATAACGCAAAAGAAACAGAGAAGCAAAGAATCAGTAAAGAAAAAAAGCAAAGAAGCAGAGGAGCAGCAAGTAGCAGAGAAGCAAAAACGAATGACCGCAGGGAAAAAAAGTAGAAGTAGAAAGGCGCAGAAGCAGAAAAACAGAAAAGCAGATGCAGCAGAGAAGCAGGAAAAGCAAAAAGCGGAAAAGCAGAGAAGCAGAAAAAAGAGAATCACGACAAGCAGAAAAGCAGAAATCAAAAAAAACTAAATCTGGTCCAAATATATATATATAATTACAATAAATAGCACTCCAAAAAGAGTCCCAGAAAATCCCAGTGAGACATTTTCCCATTAATGTGGATGTTCACTATAAATGAGGGGGGGGGCGAAATGAATCATTTAGACTGTCAGGGTAATGTAACGCAATCCAATGTAATTTACAAATTCATAAGTTGATAGGTAGCCGGGTAGACACTTCTTTCAAGCAAGTGGTCAGCCTCTTCAGAGAAAACATCCAAGCCTAGCTTCTGAGCCTCAGCAACCGCCACCACACGACCCAAAGAATGATGGTTCCAAATGCAATGGCAAAAACGAAACACTAAAGTACGGATGCAAAATATGCAAATCGTTCTCAAACATTCTCGAAACCTGAAACTAAATGATGCATTCTTGATCCAAGAATAATCTCGTCCTGGAAGCCCACAGCCTATGGCAAACTCATGCTAACTCTTGCATTTTTTTGCTCCTATCGAAAGTTTCGTCCTCGAAAATGGAAGCAAGGCCATGAACGTCCAAAGTCACTCTGAATCTTAAACCTGTATTTAAAAAACTTTGATCAAACATGATCAACATGTCACAGCATTTAAGTATTATCTTGAAACTCTTCTGAGATGGGGTCAACCAAGCCAACTGTTTCATTTCATTTCGAACCCGTACAAGAACATGCTGCACACGCATCAGCATGTACCATTTGGTCAATTCATACGTTCGTTCACACTTGCCGAATACACTACTTGAAGGCTTGTTTTGCCGTTGTCGCTGCAAAAAATGGTCCACCAACTGAGACCATGCTGAGGCGCGATGCAATCCATCCGGCACGACAAATTATCCAAATATTCCTGCGTCACGGTGAAAAACTCCTGGAGGTCAGTGGGGAGCTGAGATGACATACAAAAACACCTCCCCAACAAGCGCTCTGTCGGCGACCTTCACAAGTACATATATATATATATATATGTATTTCTACATAATTATATACATATAAGTATATATATATTATATATATAATCACACACACACATATATATATAATCACACATATATATATATATAATCATACCTATATATATGTATATATATAAATTTATATATCCAAATTAATAATCCCCTACAACCCTGGGCTGTTTGATTGGGGGTGCCATGTGGCAAATCATCACTTTGGGTAATGGCTGACATATCTGACATCCACAAACATCAGCAAACACTTCTACCACTTGGTTTTATTTCTTGGCTCCTCCTGTGCATGCAACGTTCGGATCGTGTTGTACTTGTTGAATCGCGCTGCGGTTTTCGAATCGTGAACCCATCTCGTCATCGGTGCAATGAATTGAGACGCTTCAATCGAACCTTCACCAGTCGTGTCACACATCTCCTCAGGCATGACCAGCATCATCTCAAGGCTGCCTTTCTTAGCCACGTAATTATTTCACGATTCTTTTAAGCCACGATTTTTTTTAAGCCACGAAATCAAGTTAACCACGAAAAACCCTTAGCCATGCAATGTTGCAAAATTCTATGCCTTGCCTTTTTCATGGAATTGTACCTTGAAACCCTTGCCTTTTTCATGGGATTATACCCAGTAAACCTTGCCCTTTTCATTATATAAATTGTACCCAGATTTTACCAAGCATCTTTTCCTTCTTTGATTCGATTAAAAAAACATTTTGTTTCCAAATGCGACACATATTACAACAAATTCAATTTTAGTTTTTTATGGTTAAACAAAAAGAATAATTTCAAGGCTAAGCGCTCACTTTACGTGTGGCTAAACTTATTTACGTTGCCAAAAAAAATTAATCAAGGCTAAGAAAAACTGTTTTCGTGGCTAAAAATTGGTCCCATCATCTCATTGGAAATCTAGTAGTGGGACATAGTGGGACCATAGGGACTATAGCAGGAGATGATCAAAGGAAATCTAGAAATCTATATTTCCGTGTTACGGATCTTTGGATGTCACTGCAATGGATGCCGCTAGAACGGATGTCACAGCAATGACTGTCACAGCAATAATTAACTGTCACAGCAGCGAATCATGGTCGGATCGGCCCCGCACTGTAACTGCCGCTTCAGACGTTGTTTTGCGCAACTTGAACTAATTTTGATTAAGTTTCGCACGAGAGCTTCGTTTTCACATGATCAACTTTCCGTTTTTGAGGGAAATCTCGCACGAAAACTTGGTTTGCACATCTTCAACTTTCAGGTTTTGAGGGACATCTCCCACGAGAGCGTTGCTTTTACATCTGCAACTTGCAGTTGTTTGAGGGGTGTTTTACACGAAAGCTTCGTTTTTCACATCTTCAACTACCAGTTTTTGAGAGAAGTCTCGCACGAAATGCATTTTTGCGAGATAGCTGATGCGCGAAATGCTGGGCTTTTGCAGTAAAAAACGTGCCTCAGAAGATGGACCTAAGATCAGCTGAGATCATCTGAGAATTTGAGAGGAGCTGAGAAGATCTGAGAAGAGTTTAGCAGATTTGAGAAAAATGAGAAGACATGAGATGAGCTGACACGAGCTAAGAAGAGCTGAGAAAAGCAGGGATGAGATGAGATGAGATGGATGAGATTGATGAAAAACCCTGAGAAAACACGACATGAGATGAGGTGGGATGACACAGACTGCTGTGACAATGGGATGCAATGAGCAATTTCCAAGAGAAGTTGCGATGCGACGAAATCAGGTGAGATGAGAAAAGATCCAACCTTGAAAAGAGATGGCGCCCGAATCAAAAGCCAAGAGATTGTTACAGAAGGTCTGGCCGCACCCTATAGGCACAGTCTTTGCTCCGCTCTATAGATTCTATAGGTGAAATCTCAGGAGGCCCTATAAGCAAATAATATGCCAGCAATATACAACTGTGGAAATGCATGGGAAATGCCGACATATTGGAACTAAGGTCCTGAAGTGATTGGGGCCGAAAGTGAACCATGATGATATCATATGATTATCATATGATTATCATATGATTATCATATGATTATCATATGATTATCAATGATAATCATGATCCATTGGCTGTCGGGGTCGTTGCTTGGTCTGTTGCCTGCTTGGATTTGCTGGGCTGATTTGGTTGCTTGCCCTTTTGATTGCTAGTGCGAACAATTTGTTGCCAAAATTCATTGCCACATTGTATTTTTGCTTTGTCGGTGAGTGGTTTGCGCAATATATAAGGTTGGTTGCAGCTGGTTGGTCTGTTACTAAACAGCTCCACCCTTGAATCCTTCGTTACCGTTAGTTGTCACGTCTTGGTGCCCAACTCGAAATGTCGCAAAGGCCGTCTTGGTAAACAGCTCGCGTTCCCCAGCTCCTCCAGCTTGGTGCGGCTGAGTGGCGAAAAGCTGTTGCAAGTCGGCTTCGTCAATATCCATCACTCGCAACCTTGCAACGCACTTTTCACGTGCTTTTTTGCCTTTTTTCTCTGCTGAACCACATGAGACCACATGCACATGCTTAGTGAACTTAAGATAACTTGAGTCAGTAACTTGGATCAGGACAACATACTAACGCTTTCAATCCTACCACCTTCTTCCAATCCCTGGATCGACAGCTACATAGGCTCCGCAGTATGTCTCTCTCTCTCTCTCTCTTTCTCGCTAGGACGTTGCTGTCTTCCCAGCTGTCGCTGACGGCACATTATATCCCATCACATCCCACAAAATGGTTGGTCATAAAACATGGTGAACTGTAAAGAAACGTCATAAACCAGCCATATTTTCATGGGTTTTACCACCCATAAAATTGGTAAAATGCCGTAAATTTATGTAAAATTGGGATCATGGATCCTGGGATCCCATTGCTTCACTAATATGAAACCTGGTGGTTCCCTGCCTGCTCTGGAACTCCTTGTCCTTGCGAGCTCCCTCCACTAGCTCTTCAAAGGTCACCTGCCCCGAGCCGTCTTCGTCAATCCGCTGAAAGATTGCCTGGCAGGACTGAGAATGGGGTATATATGGTACTATGTATAACTATAAAACATGAACTTAACTCCCCAATGGGGAAAATACAGGAAAATTGTGATAAACCAGTGGTGCATATACGATTTTGTGAATGTTGCCACATTCAAACAAAACTTTGGGGATCACCCCTCCAAGGCCTTGGGGTTGGTTCTGTTTGGTTGCTTGCCGATTCTTGGGAGCCAAGAAAACGCACAACATGATCATGATGACTCTCAATTTGTTGCCCTTCGCAGTGGACATCCTTTCCAGGATTGTACGAATCACCCATAAATCAAACTATAGCGTTTGTACTTATTCGCACTGGATTGGATATGATTGGATACAATCCGGACGATTCACCATGAAATAGTGTCATGCGAGCTGAAAACGGCCGGACGTAAACACATTTCAATTGAGGTTCCTCCAACAGTTTTGTGTCTTTGTCCAAGTTGTCTTCCATCTCCTCTGCTAGGTTCAAAACATCCCGCTGTCTGGTTTCAGCGAAATTGTCCACGACAACCTCGGTATTGCGATGGGTTGCGAATGGTTGCGACAATTTTTCAAGACTGGTCACAGGTGCTTCCACCTCACCCTTCAACCCGATTTCTTTGGTGCAGCGATGAGAAAAAAATAAATGCACCAAGCAGCAGCGACAATCAAATTTAGGACGCCAAAAACCAGAGTCAAAAGTGATCCCATGAAAAGCAAGGCAGTTGCTGGGTAATGCTCGATCACGGGTACGGCAATGAGCCCCCAACTGTCACCGGCAATGACCGTTTTGAACAATAGGAGGTTTGCGTTCATGACTGAAGAAGTTGCTCGGACACATTGCTCGCAATCTTCAAACAGCCCCTCGTTGTCATGCAAACTCTGGACGCGAGGATAAACCCATTCAACGATAAGCATCGCCCATACTGTCATGACCATGAAGCAAAACACCTGAAGGTTCAAACGCAAGGATAGACGAGCGGTGAAAAAACCCTATCCAAACTTCTTGTGCTCACAAGGGTCTTTCATGAATCCTTTCGTTTTACTTTCGCGGCCACAATGGTAGATTTACCGGAACACATGCTGAAACACCTTCTTTCGAGGACCTTTCGCGGTGAAATGCGAAAGCCTGCGCTGACGTGAGAAAGATTATGTCTGGCATTGGCAAGGTCTTTGCCCACCGACTCTTCACACACCTCATCCGCCCATCTGAGGAGGAAAGGAAGAGGAAAAGAAGAGAGGGGAAGCAGAGAAAGAGGAAAGGAGATGGAAAGAAGAGGGGGGAAAACATAAAACAATTGGAAGAAGCAAGGGAATGGGAGACTAAAAAGGAAAAGAGGAATCAAGGAAAGGAAATGAAGGAAAAAATGAAAGAAGAGGAAGAAGAGGAAGAAGAACGGAAAAAGAGGAAGAAGAAAGGCATAATAAAGGAAAGGAAAAACAGTAAAAGCATAAAGAGGAAACATTTCCAAGTTTGGAACATCAATTCCAAGTCAAAGGCGAAACAATGCATAGCAAACAATGCAAACATCTGGAAATGCAGCCTTGTTTGTGTAGCTCAATGAACGCATTGCATTTTGATCATTTTGTTGCCGGATGTTGCCAGAAGGATCTAGAAGATCTTGACGATTTGCATGATCCCATATTGGTTCGCAATGGTCTGAACAAGGGCAATGCGGCAAGAAGAAGTGGCATGCGTGCTTTCCCTTAATGGGATTCCAATGTTCTGAAAGGATTTGGATCCCGAGACGCAGGGCGCAGCATGTCACCTAGCTGCTAATGTCAGCTAATGTCAGAGTTACACGGTTGCCCAGTTTGCCCCATCTTAATGTCTCCTGCCGTCTCTGGCTTGTCTCTCTGTCGCCGCAGCTGTGTTGATGGCTTCAGGCTTAACTTTTTCTAGCAGTTTACCGTCCATGTACCTGGGTGGTCCTCGGAATTTGTTCTCCCAGTTTGTCTCTGGCCGTTTCCCTCTTTTGATAAATTGGTTCGTCATGGTTTGGAAATGCTTGGCAAGCATACTCTTATAGCATCTCCCTGCAATTTTTCTCCCAATTAATCGGTTCCAACTTGCCACGTTTCTGCATTGCTTTGACTTAATATCTCTACCAATGTTGAAAGCCTCACTGACTTAGCTCGCGGAGGAACTTTGTGGTCGCAGCCTGCCCAAGGCCTGGTTGAACAATGAGGAAACCAAGGTTCATTCAACGATAAGCATAGCCCATACTGTCATGAGTGTCGTCGGTTGAGAACCTGCTGCAGCTTTCAGTCCCAGTCGACGGCCAGGACGTAGTCAAACAACAGGATGAAGAGGGCCCGAAGGCCCACTAGTTCGAAGGAAGTCCCCTGTAGACCTGCCTGGTCCACGGGGATTTAGCTGCATGCCTGGTTTTCCAAACATGGTCCACTGTGGCACTCAATGCCACAAGGTTGCTGAGGTTAATGGCCCGAACAGGCCAACCAAACCTTCTTTCCAAAACATCTGCTGGCTGACCCGAAGTCAAGCGATGACGGCACTCACAATAGACGTGGTTTTGATCTGCAGGATTAACATCACACCAAGGGCACTTAGCAACATGCTGGGGAACATCTCGACGTTTCCCGAAAGCCGCCGGGCTCCAAAAGCTCCCTAGCAACACAGCAAGTTCGGGACCATTGGCTTTCTGGCAAAGGCTGCGGACCAGGGTCACCCGGTTAGAAGAGTAAGGAATTGTTCGAAATGGATCAGCGTCACGCCTGTTGCCGTGACCCAATTTTTGCCACAAGCTATGCCTCCACCCTTCCCGAAGCAAATGGGCAAGCCTGTGTTTGAAATTGGGGTTGCGGAACTCATCCATACTCCATTGAAACTGCAGTTGGCTGTGGCGCCAAAATCCGTTGTGGAGTTCCCAACCAGTGCTGCTCAGAAAAACCCGAGCCCATTGTGCAAGTAAACTGGTTTGATGAAATGCTGCTGTCCAGTTTTCCGACAAAGCCCGCTTTCCGTAGAGGAGAACCTGTCGGACACCAATAACAATTTCCAAACATTTATTGCCACCCAGAAGCATGTTGTGCATGTGCTTGGCAGCACCTGAAAAGGCCTCACTACAGGTCCTGACTGCAGTGTCGACTTTCTGCATATCCTTTGCGCCGGGTGTGTGGGCGACCCAGCAAGAGACCTAGCCGTCTCTAGTTTGGTTTGGTGAGCTGTTGGCAGGAAACGGATCCGTGAGCACACCTTCACGGCTTCCTGCAGTCGTTGGCTTTCTCGCTCGTGAAGTTCTGGTCGATCATAGCTGCTGGTGCATGAACCTAAAATGCATGCCGAAGTTTGCACCGTGTTTGCCAAATCCGGATGCTCTTGCAAAGTTCTCTCCAAAGCACGGCGGTGTTCCCGAGTGTAGTAGGTCAACTGAGTTTTGCTGCTGCTTTCGCTCAGACCGACCTGCATTGAAAAACCATGCCAAGCCCGAATAGTAGCGACTAAAAGGTCTGCGTTGTCTGTGACAAAGCTGCGGTCATCCATGTAAACGATGTGTAATCTGTTGTTGGTCTGCTGCGGTGCTGCCGCCTCCACAAAATTGTACCCTGCCAGCATCATAATTGTCAAACTCAACGGACTGAGAGGATCACCTTGTGGAATAGAGACTGCAGTTGTTAGAGGTTCAGGTGCGGTGCTCTTTTGAAACTGCAAGAACCTTCTCTGATCCTGCCAGTGAGAACACACCGTATGCGCTAAGCAAGCGGGGAGTCCCATGTGGATCATTGCTGCTGTGACAACTGTAGGGTCGACATGATCGAATGCCAATTTGTAGTCGAGCGTAGCAAGGAGGCCGTGCGTGGCCAGTCCATCTGCTAAAGCTGACGCCTGCTGTTCGCAACCAATCCGTGCGGACAAGGTAGGCGGAAAAGCCCCTGCGACCCAAGTTCGGACCATGTCAGAGCGGGACCAAGTGCTTGACCACCATCTATACCATAAGCTATAGACATTGATAGGCCTGAGAGCGCTCACGTCAATGCGCCCGTCAATGATTTTGCCAGGTTTGGGAATATTGCATTGGCGGCTATATTTGAGACAAGTGGGTGTAAGCTGCGTAGTTTCCCATATTGCTGTAGCTCGTCTGAACCAATCTGTGATGTCGTCCGGGAGCATGGAGAATTCACTGTGGATCCAGCCGTCAGGCCCTTGGGCTCCTTTGAGAGTGGCTTTAGCGGCCGTGAAATCTTCCAATGTTGGTCTGTTCTGTAGGCGCTGGTGTTGCGGAAGGTGCGACAGCACTAATGCAGTTGCAGTTTCAGCGTGCTCCGGCAAACTTGCTGTTTGCCAGAGGTGGTTCCATCGCTGGTGAACTTGTTGAAGAACTGCTTGGTCATGTAGTAAAACTTCATTGTCATGTGTGACATGAAAATTGGTAGTGTTGCAATTGTTGCGGCGGACCCACTTATTGCGAGCCGCGGTGTCATGCTTCATGGACTGCTGCCATTGTTGAAGCTTGTGTTTTTTGTTTTCTGCTTCCTCAGTTGCAAGGTTGTGCTGCTGTTGCTGAATTTGCTCTTGCAAAATGGGAATTTGACTGGCCGTAGCATTGCTAAGGTGGAGTTTGCGAGCGAGTTGCGCTTGCTCGTGCCGCTGTTGTTGGTTGAGGCACGGTAGGCGTAGTAGCTCGCAGAGGCGGCTAGCTCTGGCTAAGCAATTGCAACGCTTGCGAGTCTTCATGTTGCCCAAGTCACGTTGGAGCCGCTGAGAAATCCAAAGTGTTCTGGGTTCTGCAGGTTTGTTTGTAGCAGTAGTAGCCTGTTGTTGCCAATGGTCGAAGGCTATTGCTTGTCCTGGGTCGGTAGGTGGACTGGCTTGTGCTGCTGCTGTGCGGTATAGATCCTGGATTGCACCGGTGAAGTGTGCCCAGGAATCATCAACGCGTTGTTGGTTGAAAGGCCCAGTAGTAAGGTCCAAGTGATTTGCCAATGTAGTTTTGTCAATTGTGTGCAGCCATGTACTCGTAAGTTGTTCCTTCCAGGTTTTGTTGGTGTAGCCCGGAGGGATTGTCCAAACGTAGTGTTGCTGGAGGATGCACCTAGTAGTAGGCTGTTGCCAATTGCTGGTGATGCGTGTAGTCAAGATACGGTGATCGCTGAGCTTGTACTGCATCGTCTGGTCACGGGTGCAAGCTGCCGTGTTGTTGGTCCACATGTGATCAATGTAGCGGTTGCTATCCCAACGAGGCTGCTTGTTGATGAGTTCACCGCCAAATTGTTGGAACAAAGGTTCCACCTCTGTCGGAGTCATATTGTAATCACCCATTGCGATCCAAGGCCGTGAGCCTGCTGCTGCACGTGTGCGTTGCATGAGTTCACGAAGTTGTTGTTGGCCTTCGGCTTGATTGTTTGCTCGAGGTGGCAAGTAAGAGTTGTAGATGATCCACTGTTTGGTTGTGATTGCCAGGTGCTGGTGGTCATCCGAAGAATGCTTGCTGGCTAAGTTGTGCGAGATAGAGTTTTTGACGGCGATCAAAACCCCTCCGTAGGCTTTTGCTGCTTGTTTGCCCGGGCTGTAGTAGCTATTGTATTGCAGGTTTGCAAGTTGGCGTTGAACAGCGTCAAAGTCGTTGGGCTTCAAACAAGGCTCCTGAACACAAATGATGTCACAAAGGTTGGTAGTTGGGATCAAATTGAGGAGCCTCCAAAGTCCTGGGGCATCCCGAACATTGACCGAAGTAACTGTAATGTGCTTGTGGTTGCGGAGATGCTTGCTGCGCCGGTTGCGTGGCAGGTGATGTTGTAGTGCCGGTATAGCTGCTGTTGGGTCATTGCTGGACCCAGTGTGCTGCGAATTGTTGATGGTAGTACTGCTGGTAGGTGCTTGGTCGCTTGTTGACGAACTGCTGGGTCCGGGATTTGGTTCAATTCCCGTAGTGACAAGTCGCAGAAATTTTGCATCTGCCTCTGCTTTGCTGAGTTTCCAGGCAGCAAGA